ACTGCCAACATGACAGAACGATAGAATTACATGACAATTTGTAATTTTACTCAAACTATTTCCTGCTCCAGCTCTAGGGAAAAGGTGTGTGATAATTCCTCCTTTTCTTGGGAAGTTTTGAGTTGCTGCTACTTAAATACACAATCTTCTTCTTCAAAAAAAAAATAAATGCTGCTACTTAAATACACAATCTTCTTCAAAAAAATAAAAAAATAAAAAACAACTGATTATGAAATAGTAGTAATCTGAAGTTGACCTCACTTCACCTTAGTTTGAATATGGATCTAAATGATTGTGATGTTGTTGTGAGTTGGCTCTATATATTTAGCTATAGAACTGTCCAGGATCTTCTCTGCCTCAGCGAGGGTCTGCTCCTCACCCCAATAGTCTGGAATAAGGGCAGGTGGATGGGTAGGGGCAAAACTCCTTGCAAAATTGATGACGTTCCCACGGGGCGTGGCTGTGCCGTTCAGATTTTACTCCTGCTATTTTAAGCCAAACGTCTTTTGTTTCCTTGAGCAAGATATGGCCGTGCACGTTCTGTATGTGCACGATCATAACTTGTTAATGCACTTAGCTAATGGGCGTAATCTGATTAGAGGTGACCTTCCTCAGCCCCAGGGTACACGGCAGCAGGACGGCGTCGGAGCATTGTTCAGAAGGAGAGGCCGGGCCTGAACATATAGGGAAGCTAATACTCTTGAGTCACAGAAAGTGAAACTCACCTTGGCTACAGTTACTAAGGCTGGGATGGTTGTGTGGCCTCTACCTGCTGACGTAAAGGACCAGGCCTCACTCTGTCCTGAGTTATGAATATAATAAATCATATGTCCTCAGCCACGTCGACGTGGCCTGGAGTGATTATTTTTGCGAGACAAAAAAAAATATTCTTCATGCATATTCATGGCTCGTCTGATCTAAATGTAGAACCTCAAATCTAATTTAGTACTCTTTCTATTTTATCCTTTCATCCTTTGTTCTTTGGTGTCGACTGTTCTTCACTGTGGCAAAAGACTTTTCGGGAAAAGCATCCGTCTTTAGAAAAGCATTGATTATGCTGTAACTAATACAACGGTTAGGAGCCAAGGCTGATCCTGACTTACTGAAATACTCCTAATATCACATGTGTCAAACCCAAGGCCTGTGGGCCAAATGTGGCACGCCAAGCCTTTTTGTGTGGCCTGTGTCTTTTTATTATTATTATTATTATTTTTATGTTTCTAAAAATTGAATATTATTTATTATGATGTAGTTACATTTATATAGTCGTATTATTACAACTGGCCCTTCAAGGGGAACTGTATTGCTGATGTGTCACCCTGCCTTGGATAAACAGATGTGACTTCTATGGAGAAAAAAACAAACCAACTGTGTAAAGGTAAAAGAAGGAAACACAAATATGATTTCCCTGTTCTCGGGAAGACACTTTAGCACTGCCAGCTCTTGTTTGCAGAGATGATGGCTTTTCATCATGTCTGCAAACAATAACCAGGCAGAAGGTGCACAACAATAGGAGCCACATTCAGGTTTTTACCAATGGAAAAACATTTTTAAAGCTGTGTTTTTAAGTGTGTTTTTAAAGACTGATGTCCCACTTGTCCAGCCATGGGCAAACTAAGGCCCGGGGGCCAGATGCAGCCTATTCAGCTTTTTAATCCAGCCTGCCAAACTTTTCCAAATTATATAATTCATTAATAGTATCATTGTACTTCTGCCTTTTCCCTGCAATACCCACGTTTCCCCAATAGATGGCACAGAACATGAAACATTTTTTTTAGCATGTTAGCCTTTACGCATGACATTTACATGTCATTTATCTTAGATTACACGAACACTCCCTGTTCACTTTTAGGATAATTGTGGCCTTTATTGAGTCAATGAACTCCAAACTTTAAATCCTCACTGTCCTGTTTCTTGTGGTGGTTGAGTCATTCTCCTTTCTCGCTGTACGTACAAATCAGCGATTGGCAACAGTTTCATACAGCTGTGTTGATGCAGAAATGTGAATGAATGCTGCATGAAAGAATGAGGTGAGCTGCACAGGCGTGTTAGCTCCTGAGTCGCACAATGTTTGTGGATGACTGCAGGTGAGATCACCATCACACCCTGTACTTTGGTCTTTATATATGATGAAATGTTAATGTTGTCTGTATCATCAGAGGAGAATTGAATTTCCAACGTCTCTGCTGTCACTTTTTCTCTCTTTTTGTGTCAGCACATTCCTGTCTCTGATCTTTTTTTAGGACACTTGACGTGTATATCTTTAAACTAAAATGACCTGAGTCGCCGTTATTTCAATGGAGATCCTCTTCACTGTTAGTTGTTTAATACAGAAATAAAGATATTTCAGAAAAAAAGTACATTTTTGTTAATTCACGTTTTTTTTTATAGTGACTAAAAATGAACATTTTGTGGCAGACAAAGATTGACAAGCCGTGGTATCAGGGTGTTTAGTCACACCTGGGCCTGTTGAGACATTGAGTGGGCCGTGATGTCACAATAATCTACATTGTTGCTGAGCACATGATGTTCCTCTGCCTGTTCACACAGGTTGAATTTTTCTTAAGTGTTTCATTGTTCACTTTCACACATGTGGATAGATTTATAAGTTATTCTCTAAAGGCTGTTTTATCTTTTTTCGTTAGGGTCTAGACCAGGCGTGGGCAAACCTTTTGACTCGTGGGCCACATTTGTCCTAAAATTGAACGGGGGGAGGGTGAGGTAGTCAGGAGCAGATGGATGTGAACAAAGATAAATCACATGTAAAAGTCATGCATAAAGGCTAAAATGTTAAAATGCTTTTACCATTTTCTACGCCATCTATGGGGAAACATGGCTATTGCAGGGAAAAGGCAGAAGCATAATGATAATATAAATAAATTATATAATTTGGAAAAGTTTGGTGGGCTGGATTAAAAACCTGAATGGGCCGCATCGGGCCCCCGGGCCTTAGTTTGACCATGCCTGCTCTAGATTCACCCACTTTATGTAAAATAAACTGAATACCAACTGCTGCTGCTGCTGAAGCCTATAATCCACACATGTGTTTGTATTTATTTAGTAATTTAAATAAATTAAATATCTCTCCCAGTTTCCTGAAGATTTTTCTTTTTCTTTTTACAAAAAATGACTTTTCCTCCTATACACACTGCAGATAAACGCACATATTCTTGTCAGTTACTATCAATAGGAAATAAATACGTCATTGATGGTACCCTCAGTGCAGGTGTGCCTCCTCATTTGCACACTAAAGCAACAGAACCAGAGCAGAGAGAAACATGCAAATTTTTCATAATTTGAAAAATATCCAGGCCTTCTCACGTTCTCTGCCTTCAGGAAAACAAACCCGACTCTCCCATTAAATACAGAAGTTGTCGAAACCGGGTTCTGCACATTTGTTTGCTCTGTGGAAGACGCATGTTAAATGAGCTGTTTTTAATAGTTAATTTAATAGTTTTCTGTGTTCACTGCACTTTAACAACACAGCTCCTCATCTGCTCATTCTAGTGTCTGCCTGAACCTGACTGCACCGTTGGCTCTTCTGAAGACAACGGTTGAAGCACATTAAAACAAACCTCAAAAGACTTAAAGGCTACAGACTTGGCACTGAAACCAGGTGCTTTATAGTCACAACAGTCGGACGGCTAATCAGCAGAGACGAAGTGAGGCAGAGCAGGTCTTTGTGGCCGTGGATTGTTAAAGGTCTTGGGCCTTTTCTGTTCCCACAGCAGCAGGATAATTGTCTGTGGCTGTGAGATCTGTGATTAGAGACCAGGCCTCTGGTTTGGGCTGGTTAGAAATGGTCACTAGCTTTTAATGTTCATGCCCTGTTTTTAAACACACACACTCACACATACACACACACACACACACATATTTTCATTGTAACTGCAGGGTTGGTCCCTGAGATAGGAGCTGAAATGAAAGCAAAAATAGAAGGAGGCCGTGGTTGATATTGAACATCAGTGCTGTCTGTCTGCTCCATGACTTAGCAGTTTGCTAACTGTTGATAACATGGATGTGCTCATTTCTTTTTGTCCATTTAATTAAGAACCTTTAGGGTTGTCCACTGTAATCCTTCTGATTTGATGTTACGGTGACACAATAACCTGTATCTGTATCTGTGTGTGTGTGTGTGTTTATCTGTATGCAGACCTACGTCTCTCTTATCTCCCAGTGCGTGACCTTTGGACTTTGTTGTGTATTCGATAGAAAAGTAGTTGTACTGCATATATTTGAGCACAAAGGGCAGTTTGCACGTCCTTTAAGCTAATCTTCTCCAGCCCTAATGAATCACATTCCGTTGACCAACGTCGCGTTAACATGAATCTCTCGACTAACGTACAGAATCATACTGATTATCTGTTTGATTATTGACCTCAAAGACAGTTCTGTTGAGATGGAGCTGTAAAAAGAAGCCACTGTAGACAGATGTCATTCTTTTTCACCAGCTCTTTTCACACTCTGCTTGTGTCAACATATTGTCACAGATTAGACCAGGTCAGACTAGATTAGATTAGATCAATTTAGATTAGACTAGACTGAAGTTTAAATTATTTTAATGCGTGAGAAGTGGGAGAGAAATATTAGTTTCTATTTATATTGTAAATTTTAAAAAACTCACTTTGAGTATAACACAAACCACCAATCATAAGTGTCAAGATAACTGAAACTAAAAATTAAAAAAAGAAATCTATTGACAAATGATGAATTATTGTGGTCAGTGGTCAAGAAAGAAATCTATTGACAAATGATGAATTGTTATTGGCATGGATTTAAAAGAGAAACATATCAGATATGCAGATGGCAGTGGTCAGTGGTCAAAATTAGGTAAATTCTTTGTGGATAATTTGCTATAATACTGTAAAAAGAAATAAAATCACCCCCCCGCACAGATGACCAAGCTGAGCTCCTTGATTGAGCAAACGATACTGAAGTGAGGAGAGGGAGCGGCGCTCCAGAAAAGGGAGGGAGTTTGATCGGCTTCTCTGCCTCTCTCTCCTTCTCCTGTCATTCGCCTCCCTACTCTGGGAGTGTACACACTCTTGCATTCTCCTTGTGCTTGTTCACACATGCTCTGGTCTCCATGCTGGACACAAACACACACACACACAAACTGCTCACACGCCTCCTCCTCTGATTGTGTATCTGTATGCACATCAAAGAAGAAGACGAAGCTACGGCGGGATTTTTGCCCAGACATGATTTAGGATTTTGACGAAGCAGTTTTGGAGGCGTTGGTGTTGCATGTGAGCCTGAGTGGAGAGAAGAACAGATTTTTCTTTTAATCCTAATTGTTTTTGAAGTTTTCTTTCTACGTTTTTGGTTGGTGCTCAGATATAGAAAAGTCACTTGTCTCAGACTTAAGGGACCGCTGCAACTGCCTCTGCTGAAGGTGACAACTATCCTGACAGGGTGAGTGTTCCTGAACTGGTCATCTCTCACACACTCTTGTTTAATTGCGCGCGCACACACACACACTCTTTATTCTTGGTATGTCTTCCCTCTCCACCTCTGACTGTCTCTCTGTCCGATACAAGTCTACATTTAGATTATTGATCTTTTTTTTACCCGGTGTCCAGTTAACAAATCTGTGTGTGTGTGTGTGTTTGTGTTTGTGCGTGCACACACTGGTGTGTTAAAACCTCATATTTTACCCCGGGTGTTTAACTCGTGTTCAGGAGACGAGCTTGAACAGGATCAAACACAAATCTGACTGCCTCATAACCATCTCTTTCTTTTTTTCTTCCCAACTTTTTTTTTATTTTTTACCCAGAGGCCTTCACTCCACATTTTTGGTTAAAATATCCAGTTTCCTCAAACTTGGACTGTGTATCCATTAATCAGCCTGTGTATTTCACCTCACTTTTCAACTTCCTAAGTGAATGTGAAGCCGTTCCACGCGATGTTGATGACATCATCATCGTTCACTGTTCCGGTCAAGTCATCTCTACCCACAGCTGGTTATTTATAGTGATGTCCACCCTTCCAAACACTACCATTTGCTCAAATATGTGCCTTGTGGTTTGAGATGCAGTCAGTTGACGGTCCGCGTGTGTGTGATGTCGGCGTCTCGTTCCTCATGTCAGAGTCTACGGAGCTGAGAATGCTCTGTTTCTGGTCCAAATTGTAGTGTAGTCCAGACTGGACATGAGGCCTTGGTGCGTTCAAATGTCTCCTGATCATTCAAGCTCAACTGAGCTCAACTTTTTAATGATTCCAAGATTACATTTTGGTTTTCTAATCATAGGCTTATTGGACACAAGTATATAATTAGAAAAAAAAGTTTTAAAAATACCATCCGAGTGTTCAACTTTCAGCATTATAATAAAAACAACAACTTGTTTTACTGCCCTTATATGAAAGTATTCAAATGTGTTTCTCTTATGGTTTTGGCTGCGTCATCCGTCAGAGTCCTTCAACCTGGTGTGGAAGTGTGTTAGTGCATTTGTGACTTCCAACACACTGAATATTTATGCTAGCAAGGTCCACTGTGGCTAATGGACATAAAACACAGGAACTTTGCTGCCCATTAACTCAACAGTTTCCACTCAGGTCAGTGGGATACTCACTGTCTGCAGCTCATTCCACAGATGAGATGAGTGCTGTTGTGATTTCTTTTTTTCAATGCCTGCAAGATTGCAGCAGGTAGAAAGGGATTTTAAGTTAGTTACAAATGTTGTTCTTACTGTTTTGGCAGTATTCACATTCTTGTTCCTGTGTAATTCAAACAGAGAATAAGAGTTGTGAAATAACTCTCATCGTGATGAATATCTTCTAAACTGCACACAGGTCACCAACTCGCAATGATGACAAACCATTGCAGCCTAATTTGCAACACAAATGAGGATTAGCCGGACCTTGAAAAGTTCCTTTGTCTAGGAAAATACAACTACAAGGTAGTAAATTAGAAACACTTTATATATTGAAAATATTTGATTGTTTATTAAAAATGATAGGCATAAATAGGCCTCTTCTGTAAAGGGAAGTCATTATAATGATTAAAGGTTACATGGATTAAAACGTTGTTGTTTTTTTAACAGTTGTTGACGCTCACGTGTATACTTTTAGATCATGCAACTTTAAAACAGATTAATGCTTTTTGCTAATGTTAGACCCTCAAATAAGAGGAAGAATAGTTTTTTCCCCTTAAAACAAAACAACAATCCTTCTCATGTCTAAGGTGAGATCATTTGACAATCTGGGTATACACACAAGTGTGAAAACTCCAAAGAAGTATTCTGCTTTGATGTAGTATACAGTACAAACAAGTTGGAGCTCGAAGCTCGACTCTTGGCATCATTTTTCATTTTATTTTTTATACACTATTAAAAAATGGCGCGTACAAAGGCAGGAAGAAGTATTCGAATATTGCATGTGTACTAAATCCTATCTCAAAGCTGAAAGACACAATACGACGATATTCAGAGTATGAAATACTCGGCCCTTTTCTATCTCCGGCCTTCGACGCTCGTCGACATGTGTGCTACTCTACGGAATGGAAGTGATTGTATTACAAGTCTGTGTGTTATCTCGTTACAAGACAGAGGTTGTACATTGCCTGTCGGTCGTGTGTCTCTTCCTGCACAGTTAACACGTAACAAAGCTGAACATACATTTATCAGTATGTGTGTCTTCACCTTGAAGCCTCATTTCTTGAATCTCAGTTTTAGTGTTTACAAAATACTGCACTTACAGGCTCAGAAAACCACACAGGTGTGGGCTTCAGACTGAGGATAAGGTTCACTGCCACAAGGGGATTTTTTTTTTTTCTTTTTGGAAGAAAGAGCCTGAAGTGCCGGCCACTGGGAGTTTAGGGCTGATGAGCTTCATCCTCTCATGGCTGTAGGCCCTGCACTTATTGAGTAACAGATATCTCGACACCAGTAAGAAAACTTTGAACTCCTCCTCCCACAGGAGGAAGTCTTTGTGGGGGAAGGAGAGAAGTGGCTGCTGGGATGCCCAGGCTTTATGACTCTTAAATGACTCTCTGAATCTGTGCACATTTATGGTACGCCAGTGCAGACACACACGTGTGTTGTCTGGCTGTGTGTGTGTGTGTTGTCACTGCCACAAGGGGATTTTCATAATTGACCTCACACCAAACAAATCAACTGGCTGTGTGTTTTTGTTTTTGTTCTACATTACTAGACACAAAAAACACCGGGCGTCAGTAGCTCTGTGATCGTCTGTCGATTGATTAGCAGTAGCTGCTGTTAAAAATACCCACAACGGTGTTTCGGTCGATATTTCTGTGAGGATGTGTGGAGTATCTGTGTGCTGTGAGGGAACTGGTCTGATTACACTGTCTTAGACTTCTGTTCCTTGCAGGACGCAGCAAAAACACGAATGCTAATTATATCGACCCAGATGTGGCAGTGCATTAGCATTACAAAAATGTACCGTAAACATCTAATGCACGGCTGCCCAATAAGTAGATCAGGATCTGCCAGTAGATCGTAAGGGGAGTGCTGGTAAATTATGAGCAATTAAAATAAAATAAATATATATAAATATAATTCTAGTGTTGACCATATACTAGTTTTTATTAGTAGTTATATATATATATTTATATATATGTGTGTGTGTCTGTGTAAATGTCTGTGTGTTATGTATAAATGTTATAGTACATATATTTCAGCGTAGGTAAATCACTTTTCCCTTGGTCATTTAAACATTGGCTCCCAAGCCAAAAAAGTGTGGACACTCCTGAGCTAATTCATCCAGGTTGCTAAATACAACCAGCATATTGTGTAATGTATCTTTAAATGTAGGTTCTGTTATTGTAACACACACAGGTGGCTTTTCTCTCACAAAGACGTCTGAGAGTGTATGTGAATGTGGGTCATCAAGAATCTACATGGGCGGCAATTATTGCATCACAGACTCAGTCGGAGTGTAAGACTTAAGAGTTAAGACTTTGTCCAGGGGATGCACAGTTGGGACATTCTGTTGGGTCACCTGACCTGTCCTTAAAACCACTAGTGGACTGGATTCAATGGGGTCGACTCAAATCTCCAGTAATTGATCAAAAGAAATTACTGACTCAAATCATTTTTAACCAACTATTATTCTTTAAAATTATGATTACAAATACCAGAACTGTGTGTACTACTCAGGCTACTCTTTATGTTCAACACAGTGTAACAAACATGATCAAAAATGAATTCTTCTCTTGTTTCGTTTTGTTTGTTTGTTGATCAAAAATGAATTCTTCTCTTGTTTCACTAGAAATTTGTCACGTCAAAGTGGTGTCACGAGCCAAAAAAAGGTTGGGAACCGCTGCCCTAAGGCATCAGCCAAGCCAGGTTGGATGTTGTTGGATGTTGGGCTGTTGTACTGCAGGTGGCCGTGTTTCTGATGTGAACCCTGTTCGTTCAGCTGCAGGGATGATCGTGTGGATGTGACGGATGTGTGGCCGACTCTTTCAAACACCTGAGCTTTATCATGGAGTTCACATTCCTGTGTGACAGCGAGAGGCTCTCTGTTCTGGCCTGAGGGTTGAAGTACAGAGGCAGAGGAGAAAACTGAGATATGCTGAGACTCCAGACATTTTTTTTTGTTTTAGTTCCCCTAACATCTGTATCTGTTGCTTAAGGTTATAAAATTTGCCTAACGTTCTGCTGACAGTCTTCCTCTCTGACTTCCTGTGCAATTTCTCAGTCTTGCGATACACACTTTATTTTTCCATCCATCCAGATGACACACAACAGGTGCTTGAACTCCATGAATAAATTTATTATTATTGTTGTTGTTGATGTTATTATACACACATAATAAGCTCTATATAAGCTATAAAAGTATTAAGCTCATTGTTGATGATCTCTCTGCCATGTTTGAAAGGAGATATTCACATCAGGAACTGATACTGATATTTACCATAATCCCAGTACTGTAAGTACTGTACGTGGGTGGAAAGAAAGTCCTTTAATACCTGTGTATTCCTGTTTGTTTGTGCTCTTGGTAGATATTGCCTTGTTTCTTTGGTCCATTAACGTCTAGTCCACCACTGTGTTCAACCCTGAATGCAATTACAGTGACCATATACAGCAGGAAAACAGGAAGTCAGACAGAGGAGCACGGCAGACCTGCTGGCTGACTACGCCTTGGTTTATTCTTCACATATAGACTCAGGCTTAGAGCTGCCACATCTCAGAGCATCATATACAATCACCAACCAGATTCATATAAACCTTTAGAAGACTGTAGGATATTAGTGACTAAAAAAGAAAGCTCTGTTTTCATGACTGTGTTCATGACTGCCTCTTTCTTCTCTCTCTCTGACAGATGACATGGCGTCCTCAGTACCGCAGCTCCAAATTTCGCCACGTGTTTGGAAAGGCCGCCACCAAGGAGAACTGCTACGACAGCGTGCCGATCACACGCAACGTCCAAGACAACAGCTTCTGTGCTGTCAATCCACGTTTCCTGGCAGTCATCACTGAATGTGCAGGAGGAGGGGCCTTCCTGGTGCTGTCCATCCATCATGTGAGTAAACACACTGAGTGGACGTCTGCGCTTACTGTATGTCCACGTTTACGTCTCTGTCTCAGTCTCTGTCTCTCTCTCTCTCTCTCTCTCTCTATAGCTCGCTCTCTCACACACACTCACTATACACACTTGCAGCAATTATGCAAATGCAAATCTCTAGGATTTAAAAAAAAAAAAATTATATTTGTTTTTTTATTACTACTTTTTTTACCTTTAAATAAATCATGTTTTACATTCTCCTTTCATCGTATCGTCTACTTGACCTCTGTCTCTTGTCTGTTGCTGCAGCAAATCAAGGGATCAATAAAGTTTAATCTAATCAGGGAATCCCAAAGTGTGGAGCTGCCACTAGGGGGTGTGTGAGATAAAAAATGTGATGGCAATTTGGAGTGGGTTTTTTTAAAGTAGGATTTTCCGCCCGATAAAGATGTGTAAATAAACGAAAAAGCATTAAAGGGGAAAAACAACGTTTTCAGGAACTGAAACTGTCCTTCCATGCACCATCACCGCTCCAAAAAGACTCACTCATCTCCCTGCCTGAGCTCATTCTGTTGTCAAGATATTATTTACACACATTATCAAGTGTGTTGGTGGTATAAGTAACATTACTGACTCTTCACCGACTGTACACTCGGCCAGACCCCTGTGTACGTTTGTGCAGATTCAAATTTACGGTGCGTCTCAGTATTTCCAGAGGAGAGTGATTCATCCTGTTGGACCACACTCACCTTTTTACCTCATTTTCTCTTCTCTCTGTTCCAAATGTTCCAAATGTTCCCGGTGAGTAATCAGCCGAACTCCTGGCACGGACAGAATTTACATGTGACCTCAGAGATGACATAACTCATGTTTGTATGACTCCCTTTTTCACCGTCTTCAGTGGTAAAAGTTCAGCATCATCTCTCTCACCTCACCTGTGTGTGTGTGTGTGTGTGCGTGCCAAGTTCCATTAGGACATAGTTAGAGCTCAAGAAAATTAGTGGTAGGTGTGCTCACCTGTGTGTGTGTTTGTATAAGGGTAGATAATGGTAACGTCATACCCGTTCTGAACGGGGGTGTGTGTGTGTGTGAGAAGGTGTGAAGGCTGTAATTAACCTTCCTGTTTGAGCAGTAAAACCCATTGACTCTGGTTAGCTCAGGAAACAAATGTAATAGGAGGTCCAGGGGTCACTGACAAGAAATGAAACAAAAATCACATTTTTGTCTAACTTTATTGTTTGATGTTTATTTTTTTAATCCAGTCGTGGTTTGGATTAAGTGCAGCGGGCCAGATTCAGCCCACGGGCCGCTAGTTAGAGATCACTGTCAGAGACATTAGATGAAAAGGCCATGACAGGATGTAGTGTGAAGGCTTCTTGTGCAAAAACACGTTTTCTGTCTACCTACCGTAATTAATACAAGTGACTTGTTTTTCTCTGACAACTGTAAACATTGTACTGGCATTGTACAAGCTTTCTCTGACAACTGTAAACATTGTACTTTTTCAACAAGCATGCTCAAAACCAAACACACACACACTGTGTAGCTGCTCTGCCAAGAACGCCAAACAAGACAGAGCTTGCTGCTGAACACTGCAGTTCACTTGGCCACGAGAGAACGAGGACGTTTCATAATGTGGGGGAAGGAGGGTAGAAAATTAAAAGGAATCTAGTATTATAGCATTTTTTAAAATTTAGCTCACCTCATGTTGCAACTTTTCCTCAACAGTTAATGATATAAAATATCTCATCTGAATAAGTGTTGATTCTTAAAGACATCCATGTCACACTGTGGAGTTTATCAGATTCATATCAAATCCCATGAGCAAATACATTTATAATTCACCTTGTGAAAATGATGTTCCTACTTTATTTTAATAAATGTTGGAGGTCTGACGTTAGTTTGTAGCATCTCCTCTAATTCCGCACATGTTCTTTTATCAGACAGGTAAAGTGGACCCTCACCATCCCAGGATCTCAGGCCATAAAGGCAACGTGTTGGACATCAAATGGAATCCCTTTAATGACTTCTGCATCGCCTCCGCCTCAGAGGACACACTGGTTTGTAAAACACACACACACACACGCACTGACATGATATGTAATTTCTATAATCCCAAGATCAAGGATAAGATGACCTGTGTGTTTTGGGGTTTAAACATTTATCAACTCGACTCTGCAGAGTTATCTTACAAAGATGTGTGTCTGCAGGTCAAAGTGTGGGAAATCCCATTCCCTGGTCTGCTGAAGAACCTCACCGTGCCGATGAAAGAACTTCAGGGTCACAGTCGTAGAGTGAGTCTCATCGAGTGGCACCCGACTGCTAACAACATCCTGTTCAGTACGGGCTACGACTACCAGGTAACGCCAACATGGATACAGATGATGTACAGAGTTCAGTACTGTCAGAGCCTCAGTGATGACGGCTGCACCATCAAACCTCTGTGACTCTTTAGAAATGACAGAGATGGAGAATATTATGGTGAACGTTGTTATAACGCAGACGTACGTCATTAAATGTGTTCGTCTGCCACCTCCTCATCTTCAGATCATGATCTGGAACCTGGACTGTCCAGAACAGCTCATCAAGAACCCGGTGAAGACCATCAGCCACCACACAGACGTGGTCCTCTCCATGTCCTTCAACACCGACTGCAGTCTCCTCGCCACCACCTGCAAAGACAGAAAGATTAGACTGATGGAGCCACGCTCTGGAAACCTGCTGCGGGTAACACTTACTGTTTTTGCATCTTTAAGAAAAAACCCATCCTGTATTATGTACTCCAGTACGTGGTATGGAGCAGGTTTTATAAGTACACTGCAGTTTTTTGTGCTATATGTAGACTTTTCATTCTTCACTTGTCTGAGGCTCCTTCAGTTTGGTGTTAGTGGTGGTTTATAGTACATGAGTCATTATTATATAAGGGGTATTTTCATATACTCTGCTGCCTGTGTCGTTCAGTACCAAGGAGCCAAATCTGACACATTTGGACACTGACTCCAATGTTGTACTTCTGTGTTTTAGCAGCAGTTAACACTTCACTTTTGTGTATTTACAGGAAGCCAACTGCAAGACACACAAAGCCAATAAGGTGTTGGTGCTGGGTAACTTGAAGATGCTCGTGACGTCAGGAACATCGCGCTGGAATGAGCGACAGGTGGCGTTGTGGGATCAGGTGAGCCTAGCAGTGGAGTAAGGTCACTCAGAGATGTAACTTGTACGGAGAGAGGAGTACTTCGTAGAGACCTATTGGTGACTTTTGTCTTGACACCAGTAGAAAAAGTTGAGTGTAAGTATTTTTTAAATACTGCTTTAGCTGCACATGTTAACTTTTCAACTTTTTTGCTCCATAAAGACACATGCACACGCACATAAAATATTAAAGTTTATATATATATAAATATATATGTTTATGTATCTGTAAACTTTCCAAAAAATGTGCATATTTTATTGCAACAAAATATGCTGAAAACAGTGTTTAATGCAGACGTCTGCCATCTAGTGGAAGCTCATCAGATTACTTGTAAACGAATATGTGTTTTCTTTAACAAATCTTTTAAAATATTTTTGAGTATTTGAATCATATGAATAATAATAGAATCATAATTACACATTTTAGAGTCTGGCTTTTTATGTTACTGAAAATTGTAAAAAGGTGTTCAGGTTAAATAAACATCAAGTATTGTTTTCTTTTGAAGATGTTGGTCTAAGTGTGTCTTTACAGGACGATCTCTCTGTGCCTTTGATGGAGGAGAACCTGGATGGTTCCTCAGGAGCTCTCTTTCCTTTCTTTGACCCTGACACAAACATGCTCTACCTTGCTGGGAAGGTGACAGAAACCGTCCACTCTTTTATCAGTTAAAACTCTTGACGGTGATATATAACTAAATACTTCTTCTTCTCAGGGCGATGGGAACATCAGATACTATGAAATCAGCTCAGAGAAACCGTACTTCCACTACCTAACAGAGTACCGTTCGATTGTACCTCAGAAAGGACTGGGTAAGGAACTTCACTACTGTTTTTAACATGTCACATGTTCAGTGTGTAGGATTGGTGTAGAGGTTGCACATGTTCAGATCACTCAACGTCAGCTCCAAGATTCCGTTTGCCTCCGGGCCAAATTCTCTCTCCTGCACCTGTAAACAAAGGAGCTGTGCAAATAAACAGACTTTATTTGAATAGCCAAACCAGGTGACGGCTGCACCAGATGTAGCAAGACCTGAATTATTATGACAAAGTGGATTTTACTTACTTTACTAATTAAATGAATGTTTTGTAATGTGAGGTAAGAAATTTGACTTTTTTTTGTCAATATTATATGGAAAAATATACTATTCTTTTTGAAGTTGACAAGCGTCAGAGGATGCTGGGAGATTTTGTTGAGAATTAGCTTCTGGTTCAGCTACAGCTACGTGATGCAATCGTATCAATATGTGAAGGAAGGAAGTACTCAGCATTAATGAAAGAATTGTGTACTGGATGTATTTTCCTTTAATTGAACCAAGTACTTCACATACTGATGTTGTAAGTCCTGTACACAGTATTTCCAAGTTATAAATAAGTAGAAAATATTATCTTTAGAGAGAAAGAGACCCCTGGTCCAGAGGTCAAATCTGTTCCGTGTCAGTGACATTTGTTAAGAGAGAGATGTTCTTCATCACCGTCTGTTCTCCTGTAGGTGTCATGCCAAAGAGAGGCCTGGATGTAACTTCCTGTGAGGTGTTCAGGTTCTACAAACTGGTGCCATTCAAGGGTCTGATTGAGCCGCTCTCCATGATTGTACCTCGCAGGGTGAGCTTTCCTTCATCTAAATCACACTAACCATCCATTCAGGACATTAGAGCAGGGGTCACCAACATGGTGCCCGGGGTCACCTGGTCGCCCCCGTGGATTACCTACGGCGGCTGTGGGGTTTGTTCTAGTCAACAAGAGGGACAAGAATTGTACTGTTGTCGTTCTTTTTGAATCAGTTGCAGTTTATTGTATGTCCATGAACTAATTATTATTACATTGTCGTCTGCATAAAACCAGTAGCTCTTTGTATCACCACGTCTCCTTGAAATAGCTTTCAGTTGGTGAAATGGTTGGTGACCTCTGACCTAGAGGTTTTTAAACCGTTAGTAGGAAAAGCAACACTGACGTGTGTGTGATGTGTGTGTTTACACTGTGTGTGTGTGTGTGTGTGTTTTCAGTCAGAGTCATACCAAGAAGACATCTATCCAATGACACCTGGTTACAAACCTGCTTTGACTGCACACGAGTGGCTCAGTGGCCTCGACAAAGGTCAGTGTGTGTGTGTGTGTATATTTGTATACGTGAGTGTTCGATTTATAGATGTTACAAGTCTCTTTGTTGGCTGAGGCTTTATCTGTTTTTTATTTTTTACATTCTCCAAATTTGGACATGGGCCAGTTCATACTGCTCTGACCGCAGGTCATCCAAACACAACTCTGGTTCCAAACTATTTGCACTGGCTCTCTGTTCACGTGAGATTTTATTCAAAATCAATGTATCATTTTTTTAGTCTTCATAGAAATCAGCTCCAAATTTTATAGTGTTGTGAAAATTAGTCTAATTTTATGAAATTCTAAAAAAAAAATTGACATTAGCCCAGTTACTTTGGAGCAAATAAAGAAAATAGTGAGATTGAAAACATCACCCAACGTCACCACATAAATGGCTCTAAAACCTGTTCAGTGTTCCAAACCGACACAGTTTGTTTTTAATGCTCAGCTCTGATCTGTGAGAGACTGTCCTTCATGTGACGTAGAATAAAATAAATCCTGTCTTGACAGTGAGTATCTTTGTTTTTCCAGGCCCAGTGTTGATGTCTCTGAAACCTGGAAGTCAAGTGGAAGAGTCGTCATTAGAGATGAACAAAGGACATGGAAATCCACTGGAGACTCGACGGTCCTTCAGCAGACCAGGAATGCTGCAGCTAGCATTTATTCAGGACCAGCTGGGAACCAAAGACGGCAATGAGGACGGGGACACGGGTCGACTGTCTGTTAGCAACGGAGAAGACCTTGCATTCAGCTCACCTCCAAAGACGGAGAACGAGGTGATGTTGACGTGACCAGTACATCCATCGTCTCACAATCGTACAATTGTGAAAACATTGGCCTCATGTTTGATTCTCATTTGTCCACAGTTGCTACTCAGGTTCCACAAGCAGCAGGAGGAGATCCGACGGCTGAGAGAGCTCCTCAGCCAGAGGGATGTGCGCATCATGCACCTGGAGTTGGAGATTAAGAATGTCAAAAACTCCCAGTCTCAGGCTTCACTTTGAGACACGCCCAAACGGTGGAGTCGTTCTCTTCTCCTCACTGGATATTTTTCTGATTAAACTTTCTGTCCATTCTTTGGCATGGCCACACTCTTTGTAGGGTCCAGACTCACGTCGTGCACACGGGTGATTTAAACCCTTAATTCAATGGGTTTTTTTTAAACGTGGTAATTACGTCAATCCTACACCAGTTGCACATATTCCTGCTTCATGCACATACCTTACACTGAGAACACTGTCATCACTAAATGTAAAAGTCTCTGCACCTTCCCTCGCTTCTTTTGTACACTCCGTAGCTATGCAAGTTGGAACATTCTAGCCTTTAATGCTTATTGCTCAAAGATACAGGGATGTCGGTGCCTGTCGATTGAATAATGTGACCGTTTGTCTGACGTTTTAGAGTTGTCGGCCTCCTGTGTGATTGTAATGATAATGCTTCTATTTTGTTGTGATTATTTTTTAACTACTGTCAAAGAGAGAACGTGGTGTTGAGAGAAACGGTAGAGCCCAAACTCTGAGACCACACACACTCTCTCAGAGTAAATGGACAAAACGGTCTCAGACTTTTAGCTCCGCTGTAGATTCTCTGTGCTTGGATGTGAAGAAAAGTTTAAAGTAAATGACAGCAGAGTGACTGGAGCAGTTCTGAGCTTCACGTGCATTTTTGGAACGACTGGAAAATGCACCCAAACATCAATGTCTCGCAAAATATTTTGTGTTCGCCAATTATGCATTTGATGCCATGTAGCAAGTTTGTAATTTTAATTTTTTTTTAAATATTTATTTTACAATACAAATAATGAAAAATGCATTTTAATTAACAACTTTGGTGTTCTTATTTTTGAAAACCCACCTGCTATGTCCTGACCAGTCTACAGCCATAGGGAGTAGTTTTAGGTTCACCACTGTACTATTGACCAACGTCTGTAATATTGGATTTTGAGAAGTGGTTCTCAAACTATGGTATGTGCACCACTAGTGCTGCGCCTAATGGTGTGGAATCGTTTTTTGTTTTGTTTTTTTTCACACAAAACCCTGTTTCAGATGCTGTGTGTGTGTGTGTTTTTTGTTTTGTTTTTTTTCACACAACCCTGTTTCAGATGCTGTGTGTGTGCTTGTGGTTATAGAATTGAAATGAAGTGCTAGCCATAATGCTTCTTTATCATACAGTGTGGCTCCAGCTAATACCTAGGCTAATCATCATAACAGTTAACACCATTTAACAGTGTAGGTCCATGCTGCTGTTCTATTGTTGGTCAAATATTATCTGAGGTGGTTCAAGGCGTAAAACCCACCGCACCAGACAGACATTCTGATGGCACAGTGACACCACTGACTGATGTCACAAGTTAAAAACACTCCAGGCTGACCTTTAAAGCAGAAGTCCTGCCAAACATGTGGAATATTTAATAACATTCTGACCATTTGGGTCATTGAAATTATTTTTACATTATAATTAATTATACATTAATTTAAATGTTTTTATAATTATTAGATTACATGTATTTGGTTCACTTTATTATTATTTTATTCTCACAGTAGCTTTCTCCATTAACTCAATTATTACAACAATGCATTATTACACTGTAAGGAATACAAGCATTAGCATTTATTTTAAAACCTTGCTGTATACAGCGCCTCCAGCAGGACAATGTTAGTCCTTCAACGTGATCTTGGTATAAATAGATTAGGTTTCTTAATATATTTGGGGGAAAAAAAAGAAAGATAGTGAAATATTACTTTTTGGTTAATTTTACTTTTTCAGAAAATTATGCTGCACTTTAAGCAACTTAGAGATTTAAAGTCCAATAAGGATCTGAGGTGTTACATACTGTAGTACCACGACGAAGCTTCCAATTTGAACTATAACTCATGTTCGAAACATTTATTATTCGTAGTCAACTAACGTTTTGGCCTTTGCTGGATTTAAATAATGTGTGCAATGATTAAATATGACAAATATTTTTTAATCAATGTGAACAGCAATTCCACACAAAAATCATATTTTATTGAGGGGTTAATTTCACAGGGACGCCAAATAAAAGCAATATTTTTTTGAAATGCATTTGATGCCATCTTAACCTTTGACCTTCATCCCTGTTTGACCAAATGTAGTGTAGTGTGGTGTGGTGTACCAGATCTGGATGTGGTATTGGGCTCTTGCTTTATAACCTCTTAACCTAGAGCTAATTTTCAAAACCTTTTAGTTTAATATAGGAAATCAAATAGGAAACACATGGCTACTGTGTGTTGTCCTACACAACTGTACTTGGTACCGATAAATAACCAGTAAAAAAAAAAAGCAAAGATAACCCATGTGATTATTTAGCTTTCAGGCCTGCAATTGAGTTTTTCAACCTTTGGGTCACAACCCTACATGGTGTCACCTGAACTGTCTAGTATTAATTTAAAAAACAATACTGATAAAATATTTTTTTCAACTAATTATTATTCTTTTTAAAACTATTGATTAGTCTCTGGGGGTCACCAGAAATCTGTGATGAAAATCATCAGATGCTCAGATTAGCTGTCATAAATAGATGAATGTATTAAAGATAATTTGGGGCCCAAGTACAATGGTTATGTATAGAAGCAGAATGTCTCTGTGTATGTGATTGTGTTGACTGTTGTTATTTATCTCTTCGTTCCAGTTCTTTCTCTGTGCAACTCTGGCTTCAGTGCAGTAGATCCACAGCTGCCCAGCATCGTTTCCCACCAACACTGCTGACAGCAGGTCTGACTCATGAGGCTCATTTGTTCACATTCCAATATTTTGTAGACAGATATCTGATACCAACATTCACTGCAAATATATCAACCCAACTAATTCAGATACTCTTTATTACTTAAGAGTGTATTTTTATTGTGTATGCATATGCTGCTTTTTCACTAATTTGAATGCAGTCAATCCACATATATAATAGATAAATACAATGTTCAAGTCATTTGAATTTATTTGATTTTCCAAGTAATGTTATATGTAATCAGTGTCTTTGTCTTCACACTTCAGTTGGCTGTGACTGATGGTTTTTGGATAAAGTCATCTATAATTCACAGAATGATAGATTAAATATCGGTGACAGTTCGACAGTGTGAAGACTGGACGTTTACCAAAGAGGAAGAATGTAATGACATGATGCTACCACAGGTTGTACTGTGACAGTTGAGTAAAGTTTATACTGAAATCTAATTTTGATTTGAAAGCAATAAGACTAATGTTTCACTGCTGTTTGTTTCTGCAAAACAGAATCATGTTGTAAAAGGAATAATCCAAACATGATCCTAATGAGCCAGAGCATAGCAATGTTCATCCTTTCTGAGGTGCTTTTTTTTAACACGCACAATTTAATAGTCTCCTTGTAACTACACAACACCTCAGCGACAGAGTTGGTGTAATTTATTAAAATTATTCATGCAGGGTTTATATGGCGCTTGCTACGATGTTATCTAAAATGCAACCACTTATGTTGTTAAATTGTCTATTAAATATCTTTAGTTAAAACAACAAGAGTTTCTAACTGTGTTATTGTTAGTGCTGACTCTAAAACATCAATGATCACTGAGTTTCTCCTTTGTGAGTTTTCTGTCTTTTTCCATTCATTCACAATATCTTTGCAAATGCACAAGTATTCGGAGTGCTACTGGTTCTATGGATATTTTGAAGAAAGTGACACGGCCTAAGAGCCAGGAGGCTGACTCATTGGGACTGACCAGAATGGACAGAAGCAGCCACAGTGGACATTTGTGTATCGGGGATTTTGTAAAATACACAGGGCTGAGCAGGTTAATACCAAAGACAGTGGATGCACTAAACAACAGATGTTGGAGATGAAGCCGACAGGCAAGAGGACACGACGATGAAGACCCCAGAGAGGATTTATGAATGTTGTGAGTGAGGACATAGAGATTGTTGGAGGCAGAAGATCCACTGTGGAGACCCCTGAAGAAAGCAGCCAAAAGAAGATGACATTTCAAATTGGGTCATGGTGGACATCATGTGAACTCTTCTTTTTCCTCATACTTCAAGTTCAACAAGATGGCTAAATGCAGAGGACTTTACACAATCAGGAAATCATCAAGTCTTAAACCTAGCAGGCTTAATTTTTTTCTGTAATTTGTCTGCGAAATCATCTGTTCTCGCTAGTAGGGAAAAAAAAGAGTCCTTTATTCGTCCCACAATGGGGAAATTCATAGTGTAAGTCTTTGCAACTCACGGAAGGTTCCTTTAGGTACGTAGTTCCTCAGAGGAACTATAAGGCCAGGTGTGCTAACCGCTACTCTGTGGAACCACTATGGTCTTAAAGTTGTGAATTCAAAATGTTTATATGCAGTACTAGTTGTGTTGTGAGAAGATTTGGCTGGTAAAAAAAATAGCAAATTTCAAATCAGGCGTCTCAGGTCACACTGGACAGTCACATGGTTTCAAAGAATTCAGTTTTTTAACCAAAATCCTGCATTCACTTTCAGGTCCATGTTGACAATCGTTCACCACAAAGACTGCCTCTTCATTGACATGAGACATGTCAATCTATTCTAATGCCCCTCCCCCCAGAGTTAGCATTATGAGGTGTTTAAACGTTTAACACAAATCTAGACAAACAGCAGCAAATGGCAAACAGAAATCACAGGAGGTAACATCAGCAGCTAAAACAGGTTCTTTAACATGTGAAATACCAGATGCTGTTGAAGTTGGTGCTAGCCATCAGCAAACCTTGTACGCCTTTAGCTGGACTATATCCCACCTCAAAAACCAGGGAAATATGAGGCTTAATGCAGTTACAATTAAACAGAAGTTAGACTTGTAATAGTCTACTCCATGTTTTGACCAAAATGTAAAATCCTGTCAGTTATATTGATGATACACAACAATTACCACAATTAAAACCTGGAAAACCATCACCCTTCCCTTGGCAGAATTTTGAACTGGTACCATGTGAGGGCGCTGTCAACCAGTAGGTAGACATGGCCATCGACTAGTGATAGGGTCTTCGGTTTGATTCCCACCTCCTCCATAGCATTCATTTGTGACCGTATGTCACCGCATTACAACGATTCTTGTACATAAAATAAGCAAGGCAGGAAAAGTGCAAAGCACAAAATGTTAACATTTTATTTACAAAGTTGTTTTTTTGTCATACAGAAAGTAAAAATGTAGCTACAACCTTAAATTATGCAACTTGTGGCCACACTAAAAAAATCATGGCTCACCGATTGCACAGCTGCTATAGCAATAATTTTATTGAGAAAAATAAGGAACAGAAAAAAAATAAAGAAATAATGAGAAATAATAAACCCAACAAAAAAATAATTCATCCAACAAAACATTAAAAGCACAGACCCAAAACTAGATACCAGTCCCAAAGTTCTCACACGGGAATACAATGAGGGATCGACGGTGAAATTGTGGAATGCAGAGTGGTGGGCTGCCTGAGAACCTCGGAGGCCGTGGGCTGGGTGAGGTGGAGGCGTTGGGTGGCTCTCAGTTCCATTAGAGGAAAAAATAAAGGGTGGGCAGCTCCACTCGCCCCACCCATCAGGTACAGTCTTGCCCCATTATAAGAGCTCTGAACTGGGGAGGGAGGACGGGGTGGACATGGATTACAAAGGTGGTGAGAGTTGTAAGAGGGTGGACGTTTGGGTGTGTAGGGTGAGATGGGGAGACTTGGAGGCTTTTGTATTCAGTTTTACTCTTAATCATCATCTTCGTCGTCCTCATCCTCATCTTCATCCTCGGGGTCTCGCTTTCTCTTCTCCCCTTTGCCGGTTTCTGCGTCTGTATTTTAAAAAAAAAAGTGTAAGAATATATGATTTTACAATTTAATTGTTACTCATTAAACTCACTCACTATGGATTTATTTTATACAGGCGGTTTTTCAGAACCCAAGAATGGAAAGCTTTTATCACATCATTGGAAATTGAAATAGTCTTCTTTTTTAAACGAAGGGAGAAAAAAAAAATCAACCTATTTATCTAACTGGTACCACCATAAGGACAAAATGAATAATTGTTTCAATGATAAACAAACAGTTTATTATTTAAACAATAGCCAAAGACTAAGTTATGCACATCACACGGTCCAAAAACGAAGGTGAGTTATCACGTCACAGTAATGCGTCACTCACAGACGAAACCTCTCATCAGGCTCAGCTATCAATCACACTTAAACCAGTAATGCTTGTTTCTTGGTCACTTTTTAGGCTGCAGTCTTCACCCAAAGCACTGTCAACATCTGTATCTCTAATGTGAATTTAAAAGAAACATTTCGTGGAAATGGTGAAAGAGTATGAAAGGTAAACAAAACGCTCACATTCTAGTTTGCCTGCTCCTTTCAGCAGTGGACAGATATATTGTCTGTATTTTGTCCCATCTTTTGCCTCAGTTCGGTACCTCGGTAATTTCATATTTATTTTTGGATAATACTCTTTGGCAATGCTTTTAAGTAGTTTCCTTGGGAGAACAAGATTGGATGGTGAAAGTGGAGGCAGAAAAAGAAAATAGAGACATAAAGACAATGAGAAAACAGTGAGACGGATATGAACATAACAAAAAAAAACTAGTTGTGCTGTGATTGATAAACTCTGTCAAGCATACAAAAGCTAATATTTTAGGTTAGCCATTCCCTACATAGTATCCTGCAAGAGTTGCACTGGCACACGCTTTAATGTGTGTGTTCTTATAATAAAAGTATATTTACAGCTCCTCCAAGTCCAGATAACAAGCCTTTTGCCCTAACTAGATATGGCAATGCACCCAAGAAATGCAGTAGTAATCCAAGGACCCTCTGTACTTTATAGAGCATGTTGCGATATATACTGTAGTACGTACGCTGACACACAGATAGCCCTGTAGTGATTTTGTTTGTTAAAATTATGACTTAAATTATTTGTTTGTGCTCTGCGTTTGACTAATCTAATGTGACTTTTAGATTTGGTTTAGACTGATAACAAATGACCAGCACAAAATGGCAAAAAAGTAAAAGCAAAGTCACACCAGCAAACAGCAACTAGAGCAAGAAAAGTATTTTAACCACCCAACCATTAGTTCCTTGGTCATCGGTTATCTGACAGCAACGGTGGTGAATATTGATAGAGTCTGAACATAGTTGACACAGTGGCACACAGCCATGTCAAAACCAAGAATCACTGTCAAGTGGTTTTTAAGAATGTGTTGCATACCATCATCATCATCTTCCTCGTCCTCATCCTCTTCATCTACTTCTCCATCTTGACCAAAATCTTCCTCCTGGGTAAACACAGTACATGTAAAAACAGAAGAAATGCATTTTAATTTCACACAATTCTTTGTATTTATTCTTTGTTTTACCTCTTCTTCTCCGCTAACCTCTTCATCATCTTCTCCTTCCACCTCCTCTTCATCGTCATCCTCCTCTTCCTCATCAAAGTCTTCCTCCTCTCCATCCTCATCTTCCTCCTCCTCTCCCTCTGCAATACACAATTTAAAATTAATGTATGGTGTGATTTAAATTAGGCAAAAACACATTTAAAGCCATCATGCATTAAAACCAAGCCATACATCACAGACAGAGCTACTGAAATTGGTAAAAGGCTGCATTTATTTACCTTCATCTTCATCATCATCTACACCATCGCCGTCCACCTCTCCATCAGAGTCCGAAGCTTCCCTGTCCTCCATGTCATAACCATCCAGGTACGTGAGCTGGGGCAGCAGCTTGAACACACTCTCTCTGTAGTCATTCAGGTTTGTCACTTCACAGTTGAACAGATCCAAACTCTTCAGGTTATCCAGCTTTTTCTGTAAATAAACAGTGAATTTCTAATGAGTACACAGTTCCATGGCAACTGATGCTTCAATATATAAATTGTGAACAACAACGTATGTGATGTGAAATGTCCTATCAAAGCCAATCAGTAACCATAACAGTGTAACATGACACAATTTACATATTAATTTCCCCCAAAATTGCACTATTATAAACATTACATGTTTTACAATTTCTCAAGCGGTTGAATTTTATTTAGGCATCTACATGTTTTAAATAGATTTAGAAAACACTTGCAATTACAATGAAACTAATAACACCACAGTACAGTAAAACAGCAAAAAAGAAAGAAAAAAAAGAAAAATGCACAAACAATTTCGGCATAACTTTTGCTTGCACTGCAGAGACACTCAGATGTTTGACAAAAATGAAAAAAAAAATCATACCAATGGTTCCAATGTGCTGATGTCTTTTAACTTGTTGCCGCTCAAATTTAAATGTGTGAGGTTGGGGAGTTTCTCTGCTAAAACGTCAAGGCCACCGCTGATTCTGTTGTCACTCAACTCAAGCTGGTGGGGGAAAAAAAGATACACAGAGATTATTTCTGATAGAATAGTCTTTATTGTATAATCTATATTATATTACAGATGACACACCCCCTCCCCTTAAATGTAGTTTTTATATAGCGAACTAAAGCAGGAAAGCAGAAAAAGTTTACCTTTTTGAGTTTTCCTAGTTTAGGCAGGTTGGAAACTGAGGTTAGACACACATTTATCAAACTGAGGAACTCCAGGTTGACAAACTCAGCTGTGAGGCCTTCAACTTTTCCTTCAACAGATCGACAGTTGTCTAGGACAAGTTCTCGTACCTGAAAATTAAAAAGAAGGGAAATGGCAAAATGTTTTATTGTTTAACTCATGTCATTTGCAAACAATAATAGTTGTTTTAAAAGGTCTAAAATACTGAAACTCGTCAGGAAACAAACTGCCAAAAATCAGAAACAGCAGCTTTTAATATGGTATGTTCTTATTTACAAACTGAATTAAGAAATTAAGTGTGCAACATTGTGATGAAATTATCCGAAAAAACATGTCTCAATCAGATTTTGGGCAGTTGAGAGTTGACATCGGTTGTGCAATTCATTGCTGATCAACAAAAACACTGCACAGAAAGTTGTCAGCAAACGTCCAAAGAACATGATTTTGACAACAAAACTGCGATATGGAAGCTCCGTCTCCAAGTAAAACACTGTAGTTTATCAAGCTAGGTATGGTGCATCGCTTTTTTAGAAACGAACGAGAGCGAAACGGTGGCTTCCCGTGGCCTGCTGATGCACTCACTAATGACAAATGCAATGATTTTTGTGAGCTAGCTTGCTACAGGCTAAGCCATTGCCCCTTTTAAACGCTGCCGTGCGGTAGAGGAGCAGCTAGAGAGCTCTGTCTGCCCGCCATTAACCAAGCCAACAGCAACGGAAAGGAGGGCGAATACACCCTTAGTTCAGATATGCTTTTCTCTGATTTATCCAGCTTTTCATATGGGAAGTGGAATATTCCTTGTCGTCGTGCGAACGACCGAAATTGCAAGTTTGTTTCAGGTGGTTGCAACGTTTTTAATGTCGAAGTGGCGAAGGAAATGTATTGAAAACGGAAATTTAGTAAAAAACAAAGATGGAGACAGTTCCTTTCTCCCAGAGCTTCAAAGACGACAGAATGACAACATGGCGATCCCCGAGATACAGTAATGCAGTTCTCTCAACACTTAACGGTGTAGAATTATGTCTATAAAGTGTAACTATTTTACCTGCACAAAATCTAAATTATATTTTAGATTCACACGTGATTTATTTCGTGCATGGATCCAGAGGAAACGCCGACAGTCGAGTTTTTCCACTGCCCACGCACTAGGCTCGGTGCAGCGGACCGGTGTGTCACTCACGCAAGCAGGCTCTGTGAACTAAACAGCTGCTCCACAATTTCGATACGTTTTGTTACAATCATCGTAGGGTTGCATTTTATTTATTTTTTTATTCGCATTTACTTAACACACACAACGTATGTAACATTTTAAGTGTATTATGTAATAGATTTTTGTCGTCTGCGAGCGCTTTAGCGAAAGCAGTCAATATGGCGGGAACAAAAATAGTAAGTTAGGTGGCTCCCGTCTGAATGATACCCAGACTTCAAGAAGTATGAAAAGTATGTAATATTAGCAATAAACCGTGTGAGGTGCAGTTCTGCTAAGACTGTCGACGAGCAAGCATAAAACGTATTTTAAAAATTAAACGCCGCACATTCCGCCGAAAACTTAGGGTCGCGTCACATTGAACGTGGCTTTAAACGGACAACGATTTCCTCTAATGTTTTGCTGCCTGGAGTAGTTTGAATGGAAAACCCATATGTTTAGTTTGAAAGGCGGTAATGTTCAAGTAGCGATGGTCATATGGGTGAGTCGTGAATCAAGTGACTGTTTTTTGTTGTCGCTGCCGAATCTGGCCATTTTATATGAACGCTGTCGTGTTCCCCAGAAATGCTCAGATCTAACAATTGAATGGCGATGGTCTGTTATTATGTCAGGAAAACTCCATTACAAATACAACTGCTCTGTACTTATAAAAGTGTATTTTTTTAAGACAAAAAGAACCTTCCTTTGGCAGTTGAGCTAGCAGCAAACATGGCTTCCAAGGTCTGTACAAAATATACCGCTCTGTGGATGCTAAACGCGGAGCAGGGTGCACATTTGCCGAAATATTCGTGTAAAAATAAGTTAAGTGACTGTGCTACGACGGTGGAGTCGAGCGGAATGCTCCGTGCACCATTGACCGAGGCTGCGAAACGGTTAAAGCGCTGCAATAATGCCTGGGAGCTGGGGAATCGCCGTTTCAAAGTAACGCCAGAATAATGCTTTTCTCATCTCCTTGCTCACACACGCCTAAACCCAAACAGTGTGTATGGTTAGACTTGTTGTGCGACTATTTTCCGCCGTAACATACCCAAGAAAACACAATGTAAAGCCCATGTGGTCACCATTACGTTAGCCACTCAGGTCACTCGCAAAGCAGAAAAAGTAGCAAGCTAAGCTAGCAAGAGGCTAGGCAGAAAACTAAGGGCTGCTTTTAAAATGCAAGACTCACATCAGACGGTGTCCTGTTTCTTAGCTCCAAGTGGATCCTCTTGTTCATGTCCATCGTGCCCTGCTAAAGTAAAACTTTTCTCTCCTGTGTTTTGATGGGATCTTCAGTCTAAAAGGCAGAGATGCCCTAATGGAGGGAGAATATAGGACTGTATAATGAACTGAGGCAAACGCTAAGTTAGTCGGAGAGAGGAGACAACCATGGAGGGAAACGGGACTGAAACTAAATATATGCTCAACAGCGCCATCTGTGTCCAGAAACGCCCATCGCCTCCACAAAAGCCATTGCAGTCACAAACATGACGACGACGCTGCCCCGTAACAGTCCTATGGTGCAATTTGTTACCGTGAATAAACTACTTTACTGTCTTAGTAAATACAATATGTTTTGTCGCCGTGTTATATATTGAATGTAGAAAACGTATTTGCAGTTATTTATTTGAAAATCATATTTTCTTGTGCGTTTTCAAGAAAATAATCGGAAACAGTTTGCTCGATGTTTTTAACCCATAACTATAATTTAACAAGTTTCGCATGTCAGATCGACACCCACTTTGATATATGCAACGTCATCTTGCATCTGTTGGAATTTCATATGTTATGTACACGGTAAACAACACCATTCCTGTTTTAATATGTATTTTACCTGTTGCCACTTCAACTAAATGACGTTTGTTTTCTCATAACTACAGCAATAAAGACACTGGTATTACTGTGAAAACTTGACTAAATAAAATGCTTGATACCAACAGCTTGTCATACTCTGTTGATTCATAAGCAACAGTTTCCCCCACACCGCCTTCACCATTTGGACACATTGCTTGGAGGGAAATATTTGGTTTGCTGTAAAGAGAGCATTGTGAATGCAGGGTTGGGTACCCCTCCAACCCAACCCCCTTAACTTCCTGAGACACCAGATCCCTCAAGAAGACGTTTACAGAGCATGAATGGTAAAGCACTAACCACATTCTTTTTTGTTTTTTTGACAAATTATTGATTTGACTCAATAATATAGTTAAATTACAGTACCGTTACTTCCCGTAGTTTGGTAATAAATATAAGGTCAGGCTTTAGGCAATGTACTTTTTTCCATGTGTCAGTAGATACCCTGGCTTTATTTAAGACCAGTGTATTTGTGACATGTCTGACTTGAAAGGTGATTTTAACCGTACTGTAACATACTTGTAAATTAAAGGATAATTAAATTGGCACAATGTGTGCAGCAACACTGCCTACTAATGTTGAAGGAAAAATGGTCAACCCCCCTGTATGACAGTTCTATAACACTCCATGCGAAGGTTTGGTAGTTTGGAGATAACACCAGAAGATGGCACTGTAATCTCTACTTTTCTTTATATCAAATGTACGTTTCATTGTTTTAAATAGACTAAAGTTCAGTTGTGTACAACACAAACAGAAGTCCTTTACAGTATTGTACACAGTCCTTCTGTAGCCTGCCTCCTTAAGGTCATTACAGTAGATCATCCCCCCCATCTGTTTTGGTACACTAACCGTCACTGTCATCCTTCACTGAATCCATAGATCTTGGACAGCATCTTTAACAAACATTGTCCAATACATAGTCTCTCTTCAGCACACGGCCAAACCACCTTAGCCTGCCTCTAAACTTTATCTCCAAACAACATGCACTCTTATGAGACCGTAGTGAAGTCTTTGACTTCAGCATGAAACAATCTAGTTAGTATTAGGTTGCATACATAAACATAAATGAACACTACTACATAAAATATTGTCTAATATCTAGGAAGTAAAAGAATATACATGTATTCTTTACATTCTAACTCAATATTCCCCCTCCAGTGTTAAAGGCATTAAGCATTTGAGCCTTATTTACTCTTCTGCACAGCTTTGTTCACTGATTGGCCTGAATGCACTCATCAGAGCTCAATGTGCTGTGAGAAGATTGAGAACGCACCCCAACTGGGCAGCTTTCCATCTATGAGATAAGATGGTTATGTTATAACTATCGCCAAAGAGTAAAGGAAGAAGACTTTTTATTTGGTGTCCAGCCACCAGTTTTTTCACATAACAGGTTATCCCAGTTTACACCATGCTCTCTCTCTCTCACACACCTGCCAATTGCTGATGTTGCCTATTGTTTCCCCAGTGTCTATCATTTATTTAAATTGACAATTTAAAACATTTAATTAAAAGAAAATACTTGCACATTAAGATGTCTGCAACAGGGATAGATTATTTAAATACTTTTTTTTACCTCTATGTAAAAAAAGGTATGTTATTTGCTTTTTTTAACTTTGTTATTTTGTCTTATCCCCATTGCAGACTCCCCACTCACAACTTTTTTTTTTCATGCTAACTCCTCCAGCTTTACAAATATGATAAGGCCACAGCAGCAACAACTCTCCCTACACCATGGTAATGGTTAACCAGATAATTCATTTAGGGGTGGGAATAGAAAACAGTCAGAAGTTACTCTGACTTCTTGTATTTGCGCGCCTTCAGTGGGCTGTATTTATTCATAGTGGGACTAAAAATGGAAGACACCTTGCAGCAAGAAAAACAGGAGGTTGAATATAAAGATCCAAATGAGGATCAAGGTAACATTTAAAATGTCAGCTTCTTTTTAAAATGAAAATTATTTTGCATTTCTTTGTTAAAAACAGATCTAGATGAAAGCATTGTAGACTCTTTATCTCAGTTACTCTGCTCTGTGACAGTAGACATATGTAACTAATTCTGCTCTGTGAATCTGTTATTTCTCAAGTACACTTGTTTATGTGGCTTTTTTGCCTGGTTATTCTAAAGGGGGATTCCGCCGCAGATTGCGAGACAGGGCTCTCCTCAAGAAAAGAAAGGCTGAAGCAGAAGAGAAGGAAACTAACCATTGGGTTTTTGGGTAAATTTAGATGAAAAAACATTGTCTATTTGAAAGGTGTCCTACGTTTACATTTATGTTTGCTGTTTCTGAAACTTAGTTTAAATGCTGGAAAAACAAACAGAAGTTGCAGTCATGTTTTCAACACTGATAAGTATAGTGTTATTATAACCCAGTTCTTGCTCCAGGGGACAGTGAATTATCACAAACCTTTCTGCTTATCACTGGTTTATATTGAATATAGAGCAAGAGGAAACCAAAGGTTGCTGTGGTGTTTCTGTTAATGCTCCAAAGCTCGGTCAAGGACTTTGAACTATTAGTTTGCTGCATCAATACTGTCCAGCTAGTTAGTCTTTACTAAAATAATTCTGATTTTCAGGGTGGAAAACCAGAGAAAGAGATCCAAGGCCAGTGATAAAAGTGGCACAAAAAAGAGAGGGAGGCCCAAGAAGAAGGATCCTTTCACTGAAAAGCCAGCCATTCAAGAAGAACCACCATTTTCTCAGGAGGGTCCTGCAGTAGTGGTGGTGCCTGAACCTGTGGAGACCAAACTAGAGTCACAATCAGAACCTGTTCTTGCTCCTCTTGATTCTGCACCCGTGCTTGGATCTTTCCAAAGTTCTGTCCTTGCTCCTTTACTATGTCAATCCGCTTTAATTAACCAGATTCCAGCTCCTGTTTCACCCTCAGTTCCCAACTCAGCTCCTGTCAATCTTCTTGATACAGCCCTAGTTCAGGATCCACCACTGCATGTTACAATTCCAGTTCCGTCCCAGGATTCTGTTTCAGCTGCTGCTCCTGCACCTCCACAAGTAGAAAACCTCTACACACGCATGGAGTCACAAGGTGGTAAGGGACTTGATCAGGTCCTGATTGAAGATTTGGGCCCAGATGAGGAAGAAGACATCCCTGCAAAAGAAGACAAAATGTCTGATGAAGGTAAAATTGTAAAATTTCAACAGCATCAACATCTTTTGAACCATATCAGAATGCCTAACAATGTACATGCTGCCTGTCTCTGTCCTCAGATCTAACGGAGGCAACAATGGTCAGTGCTTTGGAGCAAAACAAAATGTTTTCTATTTCAAGTTTCTCCTCGCCAACCCCACCACAAGAATATCTTCCAGGGAATTCAGTTTAATTTTTTTAAATTAAAAATACCAGTGATACCAGTTTAGGTTAGATCCAACATCCTTCTTTATTCTTCAGTGTCAGCTGTTAAGAATTCTAAGTGCTAGTCAATGCATTCCTTACATTAAAAACAAATGTGTTTTCTTACCAAACCAGTTTGCCTATTTATTTTCAGTATGTGCTTGACTGTTGCATTTCCATTGAGGTTAAGGGTGGATTTCTTTGCTCTTTTTAACAGATGAAATGTCTTTGTAATTGTAACTAATTTGATAGAATTTTCTTAAAATAAAAAAAACAAACAAATAAAATACACTTTTTTATCTGAAATATATATAATAATTATGGAAATGTTAAGATGTATGTCAACAATAAATGTATTTTGCTTCACGTGTTTTATTTATTACTATTAAATATGAAGATTTACAATTATTGTACATTTTTAACTATATTGATTGTTAACATATTCTTACCGGTTTCTTGTTTCTTTGTAAAACAAAGTCAACACATGAATAAACATTTTTCAGTATTTATTCGTATGAAAGAGTTTAGAAAACAATTTTATACATTTAACAGAAAGAGGACGTTGCCAAAAGCAAATAGCTTGTTATTCCAAGTTTTTTTTTACTGGTAACTGTATTATTGACAGCTTTGTCCTCTTTGGTTTTATAAATAAAGTTCGTTTTGAAAACCAGTAGGGGACATAGCTGTTGTTGCCCCCTACTGGTCATTAAGAGCAACAAAAATGTATTGGCCTGCATTGACCAAAAACGTTGTTGACTGCAACACTTCATATTTGTGACACAATAAACTTATTTTGAATAAATGTCGAGATAGAAACCGAGAGATAAACGATCCCACTGTGTTATAGCTGCAGGCTAATCACGTGGTTTCCTGGTTGGGGGGACTTCCGCAAGTGTCGTCATTGTAGTGTTCATAAATAGTGTGTATGATTTTAGGTCTGTGATTTGCTGACTTGTTGTTTTGTAAAATATGAGTCCATTGTGTCAGTGTTGCGGTGATACCGTCCGTCAGTTGAAGCAGCAGGTTTCTGTGATGAGGAGAGAAATCAAGAACCTGAGGTACGTGCGTGAAAACATGGCATATGCAAACAGTCGTTACAGCGGAGAACCAGAGCACAATGTTAAAAGACATTAGTGTTCGAAGTTAGCAGACAGCAGGGGCAAATTGACTCTGAAAGAGTTGATATTTCCCCCTAAAACAATGTGCTGTTGCAAAGCCCGTGGCTGTGGGTAAATGGACAAGTGAGGCCATGATACGTTTACAACACGTGTTCGATGTGATATTTACGTGCTTTTATCAGAAAATATTTGAACATTATATCATACTGCTATATAACATGAAATACACTTAGTAAGTAACGTGTTGTTATCCAAGATGGCGTCGCCAAAAACATATACTAAATCCTCATTACATATTGTAATATTGTATTAAAAGCAAACAGAGCAGACAATAAACTACTTTATACACATCTTACATAAAAATGAGATTATCAAGTGAGTGTGTATATTGGTTGGCAATGAATAGGAAAACGGAACAGGAATTATCAATTCAATTTATTTCAATTAGTGATTTTATTAGCACCACACACAGGTTGTATTGGGCTTTGCAGTTTGGAGGTACTCCCTGCATTTTCCATGTCTTTCCATGTGTTACTGTGATGGACTGGTGAAGGGCTAGTGTGTACTCTGCCGTAGCCCCTCTGACCCTTAAAAAACTTTAAGCATCTCTCCCAGGCTTCACCTTTAAGCTCCTTAGTCCCGGGCTTCAGTCTGAATAAACAACATCATCTTACATTATTACATTTTATTAGGTTATGCCACAAAAACAAACAAACAAAAAAAAAAAAAACATGTTTGAGATTGATGTGATGAAAAAGAAATGTAACCTTTATTTTTTTCTCTCCTGTCGTCAATCATCAGGCAAATGTTGGACAGTGCAACTCGAGCCAATCGCAAGCACATGCTCTCACTTCAGTCTGCTCTGTCAAAGATTGGAGTTAGTGAAAAAAAGGACATCCAGGCACCCTCCCCATCTTCATCGTCGCCAAGTGCTACACTAGAGCAAGGTGACTACTCGTAGTAGGAAATACACCTCTTCACTAATATGTTGTTTTTAAAATGCAAATTAAAGTTAGCTGAAAACAAAATATCCACATTCACACAGATCCACTCTATGTAAATAAAACTGTATATTGTATATTTCAAAACCTCTGGATTAAGGGTATGCCAATGGTTAGTAAATAAACATATTTAACTGTTACTCATCCAGTGTTAATAATAAATCTTTCTCTGTGTTTAGAACTAGTGTATTGTACCACATGGGAGGAAATTCGAGTGAATATCACCAAATTAATAATTCAGATTTGTGGCTTTACCTTCTGTGCTGCAACTTTATTATTATTATATAATACAATTATATATTAATATTGAGAAATTAATTGTGAAACCTGATGTTTATGAAATATGTGCCACACTACAGGGAGCATTCAGACAGTACCTATTGGTTACATCACTTCCTGTTTCTCAGCGAAGAATGGCACACCCAGACAGCCCACAGTCTGTGGCCCCTCGCGAGCGAAACTACGGATCCAGCACAGTGTTTTCAATAACCCAGAACATGCACTAGTGGGTCTGGAGCAATATTCTCATGTTTGGTACGTTAAACTGCGAATATCACTCGCAAAAGGCCTCATGTCTAATCCAAATGAAAGACAAAGTTGAAATATGTTCATATAGTTTGAGTTTTGAGTTAAAATGTTGAATTTAATGGAGTTGTTGTTGTTTTTTCCTGATTTCAATGGTTGTCTAGTAAAACGTGTTACAGAGAAGTTTGAATGGACGAGTAAAACACAATTGATATGTCCTTTTTAAAGTCGTTTGGCACGGTTTTGTATTTTTTCATCATAACAAGTAACTTTACGCGGCATTATAATTCAACCTCACTTCAAAGAAATCAGATAGTAATCTGCCTTTTGTTTTTTTTAATTTGCTGTGTATTTTTTTCACTACAGGGTCATTTTTCTTTTTCACAAAAATGGACATCTTAGCTATAAAGCCAAAGTGAAGCCACCTAGACTGAATGGTCAGAGAGTTGGCGTTTACTCCACACGCAGTCCACATCGACCAAATGCATTGGGCCTGACTCTGGCTAAACTTGATGGAATTGTAGGTCAGTGAACCTTAATGTAAATGTATCTGTCATATTGTGGCTCGGTAGGGGTCAGTATACATTATGAGAAGCCAAACATGTAGTAGTACGTAGTAAGTTCTTCTAAAACACATCTATATACTGTATATTCTTTTTAGGGGACACGGTACATCTGTCAGGCATTGACATGATTGCTGGAACCCCAGTACTTGATATCAAACCCTTCATCCCTGACTACGACTCCCCCAAGACAAGAACTTGTATGGATTTGGCTGATTGTGATACAAATAAAACAGAAACTGTCTCAGTGGAATCCAACATCTCAAACATCTGCAACGACTTCGACCCTCCCTCAAACTCAAGGGACAAAACAACCTGCTTTGACAACTGGGAATGTCAGCTTCCACAAGACGGATCTGAGGTTGAGAATCCTTTGATAAACCCTCCTGATCTCCTTACTAATTCTGCTGTACCTGAAGACATACACAGTGCACTGCAAGAAGTCAAAGTTTACGTGAAGCAACTTGAAATGCAACAAAGTCACAGTCAGGCTTTAGACTCCCCATTAAGCAAAGCCCTGGCGTTGTCAGCAGACAGGCCCTCTTTTGGAGAAGAGGTGTACAGTACCATTGCTGGCTGGATCAGAGAACCTCCTGTTGGTAGGCTGGAGGTACGCTTTACTCCTCATGCTGAGAGAGAGCTGGCTGGTTTTCTTCCTGCAACTCAACCAGGTAAGAGAGCCTTTCAGAAACGGTATGTGGCAGCTGTTCTAATTCAGCCACAAGAGGGTGCCATTATAAAAATAATGAATATAAAAGTGGTTATTCATCACATCAAAACACGTTTATTTGCCACACAGAACACACTGAAAGTGTACGACCCAGATTCAAGTTCCTGCGCAGTCACACAGAGGCTGTTGCTGCAGTCACAGGGGTGTTGTCAGCGGATCCACGGTCAGTCTACAGGAGAACACGCTGTACCGACCGGCTCTTCTTCTTCACCCTGGACACAGCAGACATTACTTGTTGGTTTGGACAGGACTTTGCCGAGGTCGTGCAAGTCAAACCAGTTGATATCTAGATTGTCAACATGTGAGAAACATTTGAGGTTAACCATGTGCATTGAGAATAATGGCTGTGTGCCTCATGTCAACATATTGTGTTCATTTTTTATATAGAAGACATGTATTTCAACGTTTACTCCATGACTCCAAAAAGATTTAAGAAGCAGAAAATTTAATAAATATACATTTTCATCATTTCCAAAATTAAGTATTTTTGATCTGTGATTGATGTTATTATTAAAATATGTTATTAACAAAATTATTTCAACTCAATTCTGTGAATAATAAAATGCAGAAGAAAATTTTTAGATAATTCTTCACGTTCTGCTACAGCAGCATCAGACAGAAACTAAAAAGAAAAATCCTACAATCGCAAAAAACAGTCGACGAAACGTGCACTTACTGCGTAGTTAAAATATTTCCGTCCTGTAGGAGGCGTCAACACGGCTTGCCGTCACGGTTTTATCTGCGCGTCACCACCAGTGAAGAAGAATCTGCCCAATAGCGTCGCAGATTTTTGTGTTTTGAATCAAACGCGGTGGACGTTTCTGTTGAGTTTATTTTATGTACTGTTTAATTTGATAACGCTGAACAAAGTTGACTGAATAAGCCGAGAGGTAAAAAGCTTTCAATTAATTTAAACAATTTGTCCAACACTTTGTATTATTTAGTGACAATAAAGTGCATACGTAAGTGCAGGAAACTGAGAGTTGACGTTAAACATGCTAGTTTTAGATAATTTCCTTTCGTTCATCAGTAGATTACGTTAATGTTAATGCCTTTACAATGCTGTTTCAAATATACGCTTCGGTAAATATCCAGGTTAAATTCGTGTTCCTTACGGAAGTGGCTATTATTGCAACGTTTCGTGCAATTCTAGTGTTTTTAAAATAATTGTGTCTTATTCATTGCCGTTCAGTTGTACAGCCATTTCCATGTCAGTTCAGGATTTGTTTGAAGTGTCATTGCCCGAATAGAGATTCAGCCCAGTTTCACGAAACCCATTTGACAACTCACACGCATAAAATAAAAAAAAAATCAGTTATGCTGTTTTACGGTGGATGACGATAATGATAACAGTTAGGTGTCTAATGTAATGATCGTTGATGAAGAAAACTACTGAAAGCGACTAAGACAGATCCTGATCAAAGGAAGCAGTTGCAAAACTGATAACCGTGTAAAATACTTCAGATATGTTTACGAAAAATGTAATTGTTTTAATATTAGCGTCATAGTGAGACCATATACTACAATATATAGTATGTCAAATATGATTTTAATTGCCTTTGGTATATAGTTGATTGATGACAGTTATAATTATATAAGGTCTTAATCAACTGGAATGTGCCAATGTTAATGTAAAAGAACTGCATAATGTCAATGTTGCTGATTTATTCCATATACCTGCATTAATGATAGAATGTGTCTGTTGTTGGTTGATGCCATCTGCTTCTTTAAGAAGTTATATTTTTCTTGCAATTTTTTAGATTTCTAATATGAGTTTCCTTTTGTAGTCTTACAGACAGTAATGGCATCCAGGAGGTCAATCTCCTTAGGGAACGACTTGGTAAGACACGCACACACACACACAGTTTTATATATATATTGCATATCAGAAATCACTGTTTGTCTTTGCAATTGCATCAGCTAAGCATATTTTACTGAAACTTGTCATAGACTCCCGATAAATATGGAGAACGTACTCCTCTGCGAAGTATGGAGAATGAAATTCCACACGTAGATACTACACCATCTAAACAGAAATCAGGCGTAGATGCTGTCAAAACAGCAAAGGTGGGTTAGACTGTTTTTTTAATACAAATAAACTCAATGATAAAGCAACACGTTAGATATAATGGCTTATTTTATTCTTTATTTTTAACTGTTCTTACACACAGGATGAAGTTCTTCTCTGCGACTCAGTGTCTCAGTTGCACACTTCTCCATACACCATGACAATACAGAAGTGGATTCCCACAAAGGATGAAGCCGATTGTGGAAATGTTACATTTAAGTCCTTTACATGTCCTGGAAACGAGGTTGAAATCTCAGACTTTTCTGTGTGTAGAGAAGACAGCGTTGTTTTGCCTCTTGATCAGGCTACATACAGAAGTGAACCAGACGATACGATCATATCTGACAGTGTGATTGTACAGTCAAGTGACGGCCACGTAGACCATCTTTATTATAAGCCTGAGACCCCAAACACTGAGTGGACAGGAGGGAATGGAGCCAGCTTCTGTGAATATCCCAGCAGTACCCATGCCTCCGGGGTCGTCGATATTAAACATCCTACACAAGAATTGCAAGACACTACCTTGAAATTACTGCTGTGTGATATCAATGATAGGGAAGTCCAGGTTGACGCTGCAGACCACAAGACTGTTCCTCCGTCTAACGTACAGCATGATGAGTTATTACAAGACAACTGTGGAAATTTAAGTCATCCGTCTGACAGCAGCCAACTGAGTGAAACTAAACACACTGATGATTTAAATTCTGGTAGTGTGGATGTTGTTCCTGTCAGCACCACTTTGTCTGAGACGTCAAATGAGTTGGACAAACATGCTAATGAGCTGAATGATATCACCTTCAAATCACTGAACTGCACTGGAGGAGAGATAGAAATCTCAGAGGCCACCGGCCTTTTGAGTGAGACCGTCATACCACTACCAAGTGATTCTATGACAAGCAGCGTGTTACAAAGTGACTGCTTGAGTGAAAGCACTTTAACTGATCAACGTGACGTTCAAGGTAGCAACAGGCACTTAGATCACCAATACTGTATTGAAAGTTGCTCAATGACCTTGATTGGAAACATCTCTGATGTCAAGGAACCAGTGGTATCCAAAGATGGTAAAGATGAGGTAGAACATGGTTGCTCTGTTGTCCCTGACAGTCTGGCCTGTGACTCCTTGATTGAAGCTAAGAATATGGATGAAAAAACAAACGCAACCCTACTACCTGAGAAGACGATCTCTCCCTCTAAAGACCAGATCCAGCTTCCTGATGACATCACACCTGCCTCTCGTACACACGATCAAAACCAACGTGATAGTGAAACGGCAGAATATCATCAGCAAGTTCAAGAAGTCGGCGTCTCAAACATTTGTTCATCAACAAACCACCAACCAGTCACCTGCCAGGATCAAGAAATGTCAATGCATTCATTACATCCAGAAGACAGTGCACTGCCCTCGGAGCTTAACAAAACCGAGTCTTCAGAATGCGATAAAAGTGTAGCCCCAGAGAGGGAGAGTTCCTCACCTGAGGAGGCTCAACAGCCTCTAAACTATGAGTGTCAAGTACAGTCAGTTAACGTCCCCTCTGATTCTTGTGAGGCAAAGGACAGTGCTCTTGGTTCATCTGGAAATGGACCTCTTTGTAGCCCTGCAGAAAAACCAAATGCACAAAACATTTGTGATGTTTTCAATGCTCTGTCAGATTGTCCCTCAGTGGCGTCAGCTTTGCGACTTGGACTCCTGAGTCCTGTGGTGAGAAGAGTCTCAGTGTCTGCACTCCAGGCTTTAAATGATACCCGTGTGAAGAGTCTTTTGGCAGAACACTCCCCTGTCATCACCGAATCCTCTGTGTTATGGGAAGATCAATTGGAGAGCCCAATGCCCCGTCCTCTGTTTAACTCCACACTGCTGAGTCAAAAACAACAGTCATTCACAGGCTCCGAATCCATAAAAGAAGTGGATGAGAAGGCATGTGACACACATCCTTCTGAGGCCAAAAAGCCTGTTGTGGATTTTCCATTTATTCCGGATGGGCCACTTCAACAGCAACTCAGACAGATGGCAGAATTCCTCATGTTGGCATCTGGAAAGATGGGTCCTGCTGGAATTTCTGCATCCACTCCAGTCTCTGCTGCCATCACAGCCCCGTCTGCTACTCTGACGGAGACCCACAGTGTTGGTGTCGGCACTACAGTTGTGAATATGGTGGACCACAGCCTCAATACGTCAGGGGAGTTTGAGCGAAAAAGAGAAGTACCTGTGGTTGATTCCTGCACTCTGACTGACCCGCTGCTCTGGAAGTAAGTGTTAGCATTAGCAGTGTTAGTTAATCCTGTATGATAATAATATGCCTCAACTGTTGTGAACTGAATGTGTTTTTCTGTGACCAGTGTACCACCAGGCACCCTGGAAAGCCTCCATAGATCTGACCTGGAACAGAGGTTGAGGTCTAGCATGATTATGGTGGAGGCCCTGGTGCAACAGTTGACTGCAGCCAGAGCACATGGATCTCCTACTGGCCTTGCACCGTCTGAACTCAGGGAGAAGTTGGTCCAGACAGACCACACTGAGCTCAGTCAGGTACAAGAACATGTAAACCACACATATGGGTCCATATAATATATAATATGTTCCTAAGAGAAATTGAATAACAGGGTGTTTTTGTGATTTGCACATTTTCCTTTACACAGACCACAGGCTACAAAGAGCTTTATCTGGAGGCACTGAGCAGGATCAGTGAGTTGGAGCTGGATGGAAGGTCTCTACAGAACCTCACTCAGAGTGTACGTGATGTCAAAATTATCATGGTGAGCAGCTGCAACGGTGATATATCGTGTTCTCAAATCTGTAAAGTTTCTTGGCAATCTTTTTTTTTGGGGGGGGGGGGGTTGTTTTGGATTCTTTAATCACTGCTTTTGTTTCCACAGAGTTCTTGCAGTAGTGAGACTCACGCTGCTCTCTCTAACATGAAGGAAATGGAAAACCTTGTCAAAGAGGACCAACAAAGCCTCCTTTCACACGTAAGTAAATAGGAGCTTTTAAATTTGCTGCCACATCTTTCTGAAATGACTTCCAAAAGGATTTAAAACAGATCACCCTGGGTGGATTTAAAGGACAGAGAGACATTCAAGTGGTGTCTGCAGCTGCTTTAACTGTGTCATGCTGTCTATCTATTTGACTACTATTTTTAATTTTGACTTCTGTAGAGAAAAGATGCACAAAAAAGGAATGTGTTTATCCATAATTTTGACTATTGTATTTTTTTATCTTTGTATTTGACGCTATATTTTTTTTTTATTGTGTTTTCGTGTAGTATGGTCAGATGAAGTCTCTACTTGAGAAATCAAAGGTGACACAGGCTCGAATGCTGCAGAAGGTTAATGATGCTTTTCAGCAAAGAGAGGACATGAGGACACAAATGGAGGAGGCCAACAAAGCCAAGGAGGCGGTAAAGAATATCCATCTATCTATCTATCTTTGTACACTTTCACTTGACTCACTCACTTCTCTGAGTTGCTTTTTCATTGCATACTAACGCGTGTGTTTGTTTGCTGTTTCAGGCCTTCAGTGTGACGGAACAGTTGAAGACACACTGTGCCACAGAAGTGTCAGATCTGCAGAGGACTGTCGGATCTCAGCAAGAGCTGCTGGCTGCCCTCAAACAGACTTACCCAGAACAGGCAAATGAAGAGCTTTGCCCTAGTTTATAAAACATTACTTCTTTGAAAAAAGTTTTCCTTCAGCTTCTTTTCTTTCTCTATATAAACGCAGGTTTCGGTGAACCAGGCTGCTACTGAAACACTGAGGTCTGCTCATCATCTGTTGTCCGAAACCATGGAGGAAAACAACAGGTTGATGAGTGAAGTAAGTTCAACATTTTCTCTCAGGAATACCATGTGAGAATGAACCGTATATAAAAACAACACAGCCGTATGTTTACAGGAGAGTCCACTGAAGTAGATCAGAGTTCACCATCTGCTAAGTAAATTAATAGCAGCTCAACTTTAACAAAACAAAAATGTATCTAGCATTAATGATTTTGAGAAAAAAGATTAGAGAAGATTTTTATTTGAATTAATTTTTAATTTTTTTTTTCTCTGACATCTCATATGACAACATGATAAAGCAGGGATTTAAAATCTATTTTGATTAGGAAGAAACCTAAAAATGGTGACCACTGCTTTTAGGTTTTGGAACATTTTGAAATAGTTTTTTTCCATTACCTGTTGCACTGATTTCCTTACATGATCAATTGCGTAGAGTCTTTCCTTTTTTAGCAATCCCAGAGGAGGAAAAGCCACTACATACTGTACAGAACATATAAATGTACTGAGGCCATCACATGCAATGCCTTCATTTACAACAATAGGATTACCCAATTAAAAAATATGCTGCGAATATTTGTAATAATCACATAAATGATTTATTTTGCACTTTGCACTGTGCTGATGTTTAATTATTCTTTTTTTTAATGTTGTTTCACAGCTCAGCGCAGTCAGAAATCTACTGAGGAAAACTACTCCTATGCTACTGAAGCTAAACAACAAAGCTGCGGCTGCTTTGTCCGAGAGAGATGAAAATGTTTCTGCCAGAGAACAAGCTGTTAAAGAGAAAGACGAGGTCAGACAATGATGTTTAACCAAAGACTTTGAGCTTGATGCATGAGTTCGTTTCAAAGAATAACTTTTTTTTGGTTTGTGTCCAAATAAATTAAAAAGGTTGAAGAAGATTTAAAGGAAACTAGGCTGAATCTACAAACTGCCAGAGAGCAGATTAATGACTTGAATCTACAGGTGACCATTATGGCATCAGGTAAAACTGAAATCAATTTATACTAAGTTGATTGTCTGTTTAAATTGCTGCCCCCCGTTGGTCACATGGAAGTATTTCCTCCTGTTTTAGAGGTGGCTGTTCTCCATGAGAAGATGGCAGAAAGGGACCAAGAACGGGGCCAACTTGAAATCAAAGTGACCGAATTGTCCGCCACCGTTTCCTCCACGTTAGCCTCCTACACTTTCCTGGAGCAGGCACTGGCCACTGAGACGACAAAGTGCGGTTCACACACAGTTATTAACTCTGCAGTCAAAAAGGTGCTGAATGTAGAAGCTTCAGCTGACACGACTGTTTCCTTTACAATTTTATAGGTTACAGCAATCATGGAAGGACATCCAGCAGGCCAGGGACAGAGGAAACCAGTAAGTGGTGCCAAGAATCAGTTAAGCTTTTATCTGTGTGAATTGTTTGATGTGGATTTCTGAACATTTACATCCATTTAGTAGTAATTACAGAGGATAATATTCACCTGCTGCGGTCGGTGCTGACGTCTCTGTTGTGTTTTTACTCCGTCGGTAAAGGTTGGAGGCGTCGCTGGAAACATCGGAGCAGCGTGTGTCAGAGTTAAGTCGGGCTCTGTCCCAGTGTGAGGAGCAGCTCCGTCAGTCCCAGACCCTGTCACAGTCTCAGACACTCCAGATCCAGCAGCTCCAGGATGTCTGCACACAGCTCGGCGGTGTGAAGGAATTGAATGAGGTCAGCAGACGTTGTTATTTTCATTTTATTTATTTGGTTTCAAAAAGTCCACAGTCTATTGAAATTATATTGGATGTTCGAGAAGTTTTGTGTTGCAGTTGTGTTTTTGTTTTAATATATGTTGTTGTTTTTATTAAATCCTGTTTGTGCGTCTCTTTGTGTCTCGTAGTTCTTACAGATGGAGAACGAACTTGCGAGAGAACAGGTGGTCGAGAGTGAGCGCATGCTCAGCGCCAACCTGCAGGGACTCAGGGAGAGGAACATCCAGTATGAGGACCTCAATGGTCAACTCAGTCGGCTGCAGTGAGTTCATCTTCACATATTCAGTGGATCTATGTGCCCGTCAGTTCAACTGTCACAGACACACTGGCATAACAGATGTAATGGTGTTTGATTTGTTTTCTGGTGGTGTTTGATTTGTGGTGGTCTCAGCTCTCTTTTTGACCACTTGGGTATAGAGGTCAGATAGCGAGGTTTGGATTTTTCCTGTTATTTTACTCGATTGTCTGGTGATCCTTTTTGTTTTGAACATAGAGCCTTATTTAAAATAGAATGTGCAATAATAGTAGGTTTTACCTTACGTAATGATTAATCATGATTAATATGTGGTTTCAATATTGATTAAAAAAAATTATCATCTTGGCCTTTATCGTGCAACCCTACCTGCGACCCAGTGAAAACACTGCTATGACTACTCTATGACAGTGGGTGTAAAAGTGCAAATAAATGATTTGACAGAACAAATAATTAGAATTAAATGTCATGTGTTCAGAGTTTGTTTTTTTCTTTCTTGTGTTTGTGAAAAGGCTAGAGAACGGAAGTTTGCAGGAACAGCTGGAAACCACGAGGTCCAGAGCGAGTACCCAGCAGCTTGAGTTTGTAGAAAAGCTGGCACAGGCAAATACTGAGGTCACGTTACTGCATCACACACTGAGAGGGATCACTAATGAGCTACAGGCAGAGCTCAGTGATGAGGTAACGTTGGTGCAAAACACACCCTTTACCCTTTGTAGAGCTAATGGTTACGGCCGTATGGATGTACAATTTCTGAAGTAAATTTATTGAGCCACCAAAACTAAAGTGAAAATATTCTGCTAGGCTGTTTGAAAATGTGATAATGGTCCACAAGTGAGTCATTCAGCCTGATTATGGCTTTACATTTAAAACAGCAGAACTGTTGAAAAGCTGAAATGTGTTTATGAATTGATGTTAAAATTACTGTAATATTGTACGAACAAGTATCTGTATTTTTCACACCAGAGAGCAAAGTCACAAAAGGACACGGAATCCCAGTCGCTCAGTCAGACGACACGACGAAACCCGAACAGTTCTTTTGTTGACAGCGTCATGTTTGCATTAACTGCGGAGCAAGACGAAGAAGAAGAAGAAAAGAAGTCAGAGGGAGTTTTTGAATCAGGTACTGTAGGCTAACGTCAAGTTGTGTTTTTTAGTTAAAATAAATTTATTTTATCTTAAATGTTGGAAGATTTCTTAACTCAGTGCTGTGTAATATATAGTTAAAGTATTTTCTCTTAGATGTCATGTGTATATATATATATATAAATAAATGTATCTACTGTATGTGTGTATATATGTACATGTATGTAAATGCATATATACATCTGTATACTGTAGATAAAAAAACCAAAACATTTCAATCCTGTTCTTCCAGTAAAATAATTCTAATCTATTGAAATGAACACTTTGTACAACTGTTACGTTTCTGTTTCCGTAGACACACCTGAAACACGGCGGGAATCACTGTTCAGTGAGAAGAGCGCCTTCACTCGCATAACAGCGGTCACTCCAAAGAAGAACTCAAGCATTGTAGAATTTAAAGAAGAAGAAGTAGAAGAAGATCAGAGCAGTGTGGCTGAGATGCTGGCTGACGTAGGCAGCACCGTCAACGAGCTAATCAGTAGCCTGAAGTCGTTGCGTCAGATTAAAGATGCTCAGCTTCAGGATCTCCAAAACACAGTGTAAGTGGTGGAAATAGTCTATGTGGTAATAATAAAAAAAAAACGTACAAAGGTTTTTTTTTTGTTTTCCTCCCAAAAATAATACATTAAGTATTCTATCAGAGTATTTCAGTGATTTGGATTTACCCTATACTTCCATTATTCCAGCTTTCGCCTGCAGGAGGAGCAACAGGCTGCGAACAGCCAACATGAGGCTGAGGTGTCAGAACTGAAGCATCAACTTGGCCAATTAAACGTCCTGGCTGAAAGAGGAAGTCAGGCGCTGCAGAAGAAAGCCCAGGTAAGAAACACACACACACGTCTGCAGTGGTTCCTTGGTTTGAGATGAAAGTTCAACAGAGCTGTTGATCTCTGTAAATTTTCTGATGGTTATTTTTTTTTTCTTAACACAGGATGAGAAAACAGTGACAAAGCTTTCAGAAGAAGTCAATGAAGTCCAGGAATTTCTGAACAGACAGAAGGCTGAAAATAGTGTAAGACAGAAGTCACTGTGTTCATATGTATGTGTGTGTGTGTACATTATATATATATATATAATATACATACATACATATATACTGTATATATATATTTGTATGCTGGTGTGTATACGTATATATGTATATAGAATTATATATGTATTTTTGCTTATATATATTTTTTTTACATATAAATATCAGTATATATATGTTTCTATATTATTGTATGTAGATACTTATGCACACATATATCCATCTACGTGTCACATGTTACAGGAACTTCGGAAGGAAGTATTGGAGCTCCGTCGCTCTGTCCATCATTCGAAGATCGAGTCTCAATTCTTGCGCGAGGAACTGAGAAAAGTTGGCGGGATTTCAGTGAATCCAGCGCATTCGTTGGATGAGAAGATCCAGTTAATAAAGGAGGTGAATATCATGACACATTTACTGTCAATTTAGCATGTGTGCATTGTTTAATTAAAAAAAACAAAACAAAAGACAATCCTTTTCTTTGACATACTGTATCTCCTCAACTAAACACCAGGTGGAGAGACTGAAGGTCAGTCTTCAGGAGGTGGAGCAGGCCAAAGTCAAACTTCTGGAGAGAGCAAAGAGACATGTAAGTGCTGTCCTAAACCTGTCTACCTTATTGCGTGTCTGTGCCTGTGAACACCATGTAAGTACAGCGCTGTAATTTCCCAGTCTGGGATCAGAAAAGTCTGTCTATCAATCGACCAATCGTTCTATCTACTGTTCTATGAGGATGTGTTCCAGCCTTTTAAGGATGTTTGGTCATATTTTGCAGCAAATGATCCACCAGATTAACCAGCAGAAAAGTGAGAACGAACTACAGATTTTAAACCACATGATAAATAAAGTCAGAGAGGTAAAAAAAAACAACACTTAATTTCTCACTTTCAAACCATGTGTTGCAAATACTGTGTATTTAATGCTTTTATTTTTCTCCACACAGACACTGCTGTCTTTGCCAGAGTTGGTGAAGAATTGTGAACAGCTCCAACAGCTTGTTGAATACATTGGCTGACGTACGTCATGTTTTCACATAACTTCAATTTATTATTATTATTGTTATTATTATTATTTTTATTATTATGTGTGTTTTTAGATGTAACTTTTAATATTACTTGTAAAAATAAATGTAATATTATAATTTTCATGTTTTTTCTATCTTTCTGTACATTGCCTGGGTAAAAATTAAATATATTACTGAAAGGAACATGTATTGTACTACATGGAAAAATACCATAGTATACTGTATACACAGTCAAAAAGCTTTAAAATAGTGTCTGAATTTAATAACTAAAATATCGGCTTTACGATGTTTTGTCGTTAACTTATTTTGTCAAATGTTTTTTATTTTTTATTTTTATTTTTTATTTTTTTTATTTTATTTTAACAGCTTCCTTGTCTTTTCAAAAATTTAAAATTGTTTGAAAATATTTTTTTTTATTTGGCCTTATATATATATATATATATGTATATATATGTATATATATATATATATATATATATATACATATATATACATATATACATATATATATATATATATATATATATACATATATATACATATATACATATATATACATATATATATATATATATATATTTTAACAATTTTGAAACATCTGGGGAGACATCTACTTGAGTACAATATATTTAGAGAAAGAAAATTTCTTTCATACTGAAGAATGTATTTAGGCAAAGAGCCGACGCTCATTTGTATAACACAAGTAAAATGATGTGGTGGCGAGAGCACCATGTCATGGGGAACAGCTCTGCTGGTTTCTAAGTGCTGTGTCTGGGCATGATAATTACGACCAGTCACGGTTAGTGATAATACTGTGGCTCCAGACAACACTTCAAACCAGCTGAACTGAAACAGTGTAGAAAGCAACGTAAACACAAAAGGAACATTCCACTTTCTGGTGCTGTATACATCTGTGTGTTTTGTCTTTTGTTATTTTTTCGTTCATTCATCAGTTTAGTTTGAAATTAGCATTTCTGAACATGTAATGAAATCCTAAAGTGTTTACAAATCCTTCCTGCAGGCTGAGAATTATGATTATCATAAAAAAATGTAAAAGTTGGTAAAAGTAGTTTTTTTCAAAATAAATTGTTAATACAGGTGTAATGAAAAATGCACTCTTTACACATTTTTCTCTTAGTTTTATTTTGTTAAAAGTAACCTAATATTTATTTCATTTATCAACACAAGTACATAGAAGCACAAAGCCAACGGTCTTTACACACCACATCAAACAAAAGGTCTACAGTCAAGAATCTAATAATTTAATGTTATAATTCCAGGACTCTTTAACCAGTAAATATTTTATGTCAAAAACAGCTCACACAGAAGTTAGACAATTTTACATTCTTATAATCCCTCAGGAGGTTTTGACATTTAAATTCAACAATAGGAATCTATCTAAAAGTTAAAACCAGAGAAAACACCCAGGAAGGGCAAACCTGCACCAATGCCACTTGGTCAATTCACTCAAGTGATGATCAGGATCAACACCGTGATGTAAACAACTCTTTGGGTCAATCCACATCCCCAAAAAATAAAAACGCTGCCTTTTTTTTTTTTTAGTTTGATCTTTAACAAACAGAAGTGGCTTCAAAACAAAAGTTCAAAAAATGTCTGTCTTCACGAGTAGATTATAACAAGTTTGTTCTCCTCAGTCCACCAGTCATGTTTGTGTGGAGAACTGTCTGGCTCACTTGTTGCTGCCCTGATGTTCTGTTAAGACCGAAGTCTGTTGCTGTGACTGTCACTATTTCAGATAGCTGACACAAATCGGTCTAAGTTACCTGGGTACGTGGGGTGTCTCAGGTAACTCCCGGTGTTGCCGATCGGACATGTAGCGCTGTTGTACTGTGACAAGGAACCCAGCTGCACTGGAGAGATCCTGCCGTAATGGTCCAGAGACTCAGCAGCTCCGTGGGCTGAGGCGTGAAGGCGTCCTGTTGTGTACCCCTGGACATGGCTCTGTCCATATGAGCCCTGGTGGGCACTGTGGTGTGAATGGATATTTGGCCCAGAGTAGGTGAACCCGGGATGTGTGGAGGACCGGGACACCACGGCTCCTCCACAGTGTTGACTCGGGAAAGCTGGGGCCGAGAGGTTACATGGACTGGATCCATTTTGAAGACCTTCCGGGCTCCTGCTGTGCTGCTGCATGACGTCTGACCCTTGACCTCCCAGCATGCTGGCTGTTGAGGGGTGACCCATGAGATTAATGCTGAACATACGGGTCTGAGCTGGTCCGAACCCGGAGGGCGAGGTGGACGGATAGTAGTTGGATGGAATCTGCTGCCCATATGTAGGACTCACTGTCATATTGGGGTAAACTGTGTTGGAATAAGACCTGGCAATCTGGACTGGAGAGAAAACTGGTGTCTCGTGCACGTATGAGGCATAAGTGGTCAAGTCACAGCGCTTAAACCTCTTCCTCCGCCGCAGGAAGCTGCCACTCTCGAACATATCTTCGGCATTTGGATCCAGTGCCCAGTAGTTGCCCTTTCCTGGTCGCCCGGGTTCTCGTGGGATCTTGATAAAACAATCATTAAGAGTCAAGTTATGGCGGATGGAGTTTTGCCACTTCTTTGAGTTGTCTCGGTAGAAGGGGAAGCGCTCTGTGATGAATTTGTAGATGCCCCCCAGTGTCAGTTTGCGGTCAGGGGAGTTTGCTATGGCCATGGAGATGAGAGCGATGTAGCTGTAAGGAGGTTTTCCTCGCTGCAGAGGTCTCTTCCGCCTCCGACCTCTGGGCTGCTCCTCACTCTGTGGTGCAGTGTTGGAGTCGGACAGAGTTTCTGCTGGAGAATTTTTCTTCGTTTTCACCACCGGCATTGTCATTGTCCACTCAAAACAGGGAAACCTGCAAATAAATGTGCTGCGAATATTGTGAAATATTTTAGCTCCTGGGCCGACGGAATTGATCCTGGAGAGAGGGAGCTAAAGATCCCCGCAAAAAAGGTGGTTCCTGTCCAAAACTCACTTTCTTTCAATCCAGCTCCAAAAAACTGAAGTAATTTACATTTAAAAAAAAATCTGATTGCATTCACTGCAGCGCTTGTTCTACTCCCACAGTGTGTTGTCAGGCCGAGTTGATGTTTAGACGAAAGAGCACCATGTGCACTGTTTAAGGTGTGTGTGAGAATGAGTCACCTCAGGAGAGTATTACCTCCAGAGCACCTGAGGGGCCACACCCCCTCCACTACATACCTCAGCTTTATAAGAGCCTATTGTTCATGTATGGCAAAGTCTAAATACTGTAGAGAAAATTTCTATTGTAGGTGTTTTGGAGAAATGTCCATTAAAGTTAGTTATCTAATGTAATTTGAATCACAGGTATATTTAAAATTAGTATTTTATTGTTGCATTTAATAATATGCGAAATATATACTGTATATATATTTCCATATATATGTATATATATGCATATCGATGTATATATATATACATATATAAATATATACATATATATATTTGTCATATTATTAATGTTCGCACTTTACAGGGTCACTTTACGCGGCAGAACTGTTAAAGCAAACAATCTTTCCTCTTCATATTCAAATCCCCCTTTAAAGCTGACCTCAGTTTATTTTTAAGCCTAAAATAGTCCATGTGTTTTGACGTTCGACACTAAAAGACTCTTTAGTGGTAACAAGTTGTTTTTCTACCTTGCTCCTTTGTTGTTTTTGTACCAGGGATTGGGCAAGCCAGCTGTGTTAAGAGATGTAAATGTTTTCCAGACAAAGGCTTTCCTGTGATTTCAGCATGCAAAATACAGGGCGTCATCATAACTCTAGGATGTAACCTGAGCGACAGGAATAACCTTACTCCTGATATGAAAAGTAATTGTTGCGAGTGTGAATGAATGTTTTCAAGGAATCAGTGGTTAAAAACCTGCTCGAAACTTATTGGAGTCTGTCTTTCCTAATGTTGTGCTGGTGCAGGTCACTACTGTTTGCTGTGCATAGTCAAATCCTTCTGTGCTGAAGTTCCTCAGAGCTCTGTAGGATTTAAAATCCTGGAACTCCACAGGGCTGGGGTTCTCCAGCTTAATCTTCAAAACAAACACCAGGAGAGCGCCAGTGCACTCCAACTGCTTAGCACCAGGCTAGGCTAATGCTTGAGCCTTGATTCAGGAAAGATAGTGTGGTAAAGTGATAAAATGCTGAAAGTTTTGTTTTTGTGCATGTTATTCATTTCACATACTAGCTAAGAACGATATTCAGAAATAGTGAAAAGTGATGGAAGGCTAATCTATGTACGTTAACTAGGGTAAAAATTCAGAGGAGCTGTACTCCTTATTAGCATCTGTTAGCTTCCATCGTTGAGCAAAGAAAAAAAAAAGCTAGTGCCTAATGTCATTGGTTTGAAATGAATTGATTATTGTTTAACAAAATAATATAGATGTGTGTTACAGCGACAAACTATAGTTAATATGCTGCATCGGTTTTTATTTTGATCAGTTTGATGTTTGCATGCAAAGCTACCTGACACCTCTGCCAGGAAAAGATGCCAAGCAAAGGCAAACAAGCATGCCACGCAATCACTGTGGATTTTAGTATCAGAGAAGGAGACTTCATTTTTCTAGTTGTGTTTCAACTAAAAATAAATGTGACTGTAATATACAAGCCTGTTCACAAATGCACTGCAAAAAAACAAACCTGCCTTTGATATATGATGTTTGTGTAAATAATTCCTTAATATCCTGACAGCTGTGGCAGATGTGCAATTGACTTCAGTCTTTGTTTACGGCACGGTTTTAATTGTTGAAGAATAAGGAAAAATTAAAGTGGAGTTATCTGTCGGGTAAGAGCTGTTACCAGAACACAGTGCTACAGTTACCACTGTTTACCTTTGAATCAGTATTTGGCATCTGCACAGCATTTACAGCATAATATTTGTTCATGAGCCTTTTATCTCTGTGTTTGTGCAGGTGGATTAAAAATATGGCTCGGGCATCTGAAAGGTTAACGCTGACAACTAATTACAGCTTATAAATGGGCTGATGTGGAAGCTTGGGTTGTTGTAGTGTTTAGTATTGTATTGTATGTTGAGTTTTAAAAGAAAAAAGGCCTTAGATTTAAAAAATAGACAAACAATTTTTAAAAGTATTTTTCATACAGAATTAATTCGCTTTATTTACATTGTTAAATATGAAAGATATATATTTTTTTAAATGTGCCATGTGAGAATCATGAGTGTTATGCTGTGGTGGAAGTTAATATAAAGCAAACTCAGTTGCACTCAACAAAACATTGCTATAACTGTTTTTTTAATATTCAGTAACCAGTACTTCAGCAAAATATAACTAAACAAAACTGAACAAACAGACACACACACACACACACACACACCAGTTGTTCTAGTTGGTTATCATTGGACCTATTGTGAAGGCCATGGTCTAGTCATAGTCCTTGACTTTGTTCTGTGGAAACTTTTTAGAGAAGACACAGGTGTGTGCACAAGTTAATGAACATGAGTTGAAGCAAGGCAGAACATTGGATCGCAGAGCTGCTGCAGACATGCCTGAGTAGTTTGCTAGCTTTGCAGCGTGAATGTTTAAATAACCTGCAGTGTAATTTTCTTTTTGTTGGACATCAATCACCGATGACGACTGATATGATCCAGAGGTTCATTGTTAGATAGACATTTGAATTACTTTCTGCTTACTAACAATATAGCACATAGTAATTTTGTGTATGTGTTGGTGTGTGTGTCTGTGTACAGGATGGCTGGTACACATACACACGTCTGTAACTGAGTATTTTTTCTGAGTAGCCATCACAATTTAAAAAAAAAATGTTTAAGATCCTCAATATGTTCCATGTCAAGATAATTATTTAAACCTAAGAAATGCTGCATATTAGTGAGCGCAAATGTTAATTAAATGCTAAAGTGATAAGTTGGTATTTTCCATCAGGAATTTAATTCAATAATATTTCTTTAATAGAAAACAAAAAATGATTTCATACCTCGGAAAATTTCTTTGCTTGTTAAAAAGCTCTTTATATAAATAAAAAATGTAAGACTCTTTATTTGACTTTAAAAAACAAACAAAAAAAAATATAATGCCTTTGCCTTCTGTATGATAACATGATTGATGATTATAAAATCAGAGAAACAAACCAAAAACATCATGTACATTCATTTTTACTGTAGTTTGACCTTATGTTTTACTGTTTAAAAAATCCCTAAACTTTATCCCAATCCCAAAAGTTAATTCATTAACTCTATAATCTTGCTATAGTCCTCCACATCATCGGCACCACTCTGGAAAGTACTAATGTTTCTTTAAACTACAATTTGGAATCAAATCAAATTTCAGGATTAGAATGAGCCGTAATAACATAACATATCAATGATAACATAATATAATAACATAACACACAGCAAGAATAGCAGGGAATTTTAATTCAGCTGTACGTAAATACACGATACTACACGTACGTACGTAAGTACGATAATACACATGTGGAGCAGAGGAACAAAGTCAACCAGTTGTGTCATTTGACATGTTCAGTAATTGTGCTATAAACATCTGTTGAAAATGCTGCAGGGATGAAGCTGCTGTTGATAAAGAGTTATCATTAAATGTGTCACAGGCATTTTCTTTCCAAATTTACAAACATTTCACTTTTGTTTTACAGAATGCCTCTTGTCAAAGGGAAAACACTTAAATAAATATCCTTACAGGTAGGAGTCACTCATATTTATTTCCTCCATTTCCCGCATTTCTTATTACCAGTCATTCTGTACTTTATAAAAATCCCCTTTAATTAATTACCTGTCGGCATTGACTAATTTGCTTCTTTTCCATTAGCTTTACTGAATTTTTTTTTAAAAACTACTTTTCAATTTGCCCACTGAAACAATAGAATCTCAGTATTTCTTTAAATAAATATTGAAAAATTAGAGTGTGCAGTGTTAGCATGACTCTGTATTATATATTTCAGCAGCGGCTAAGACCCCTGCTACAGACGACAGCTGGAGGCCGGGACAGTTTCACAAGCGAGCAGAGCTGCAGCCAAGGCAAATAAAGTGCCCTGCACGTTGTACTGAGGCCGTGCCAGATAGGAACGGCTCTCTCTAAACAAAGAAAAACAAATTAGGCATTTGAATTTGAACGCTTCACTTTAAATACGTAGTGACAACACCTATACAGATTACAGGTGTCTTTCGTTTTGATAGAAGCTTAGAAGCTGTTGAACTGTTATTGGTAGTTGGGCTCAGTACTCTGCAACAGCCATTGTAAAAACACACACACCTCCAAATGGATACTTTTATAAATGAAGCAGCACACTGTTAGCCTAACATCAGTGTAGGAGGTTAGTTAGTGAAACAGACTGTGTGTAATTGTGTAATTGTTGTTGCTTCCTGTGTTTCAGCATAGAAAGACGTCTGACGATCTGCACTGTGAACAGCTGTGGTGAACGAAACAATCTTCTGTCTCTTCAGCTCATCAGAGCCTGACAGTTAAAGGTCACACATTTTAATTGTCTTTTGCTATGGTGTTAGCAGCCAGTTACTGAAAAATCATCACTTTATATTTCCTCAAACAGTAGAAGGTGTTATTTTTTTGTACAGTATAACAGTAAACACCAACTGAGATGTCACAGCTCAGAGGGAACAGGTTTGATCTGTTTGGTTGGTTTCCCATTCTTATATCATATCATCATATAGATACAACTTAATCTTGTTTGATACTGATACTGTAAATTGGCGTGCAACTGCAAATACTGATATCAATCCAATACTTTATTTTTTTTCCTCCAGTAGTAGTAGGATTTCATAAGAAACTACTATGAAAGGATCAGGTATTGACCACTTGGAGAAAGGGAGGCTTCCTGTTTGCATTAGCAGCTGCAGGGACTTGGTAAGGATGCAAACTCCTAAATGGTTGACTTGCTCCAAACCTTGGCCACACACACAAGGTGTGCGTTTGTGTGTGTGGGTCGCTCTCTTGTGCAGATCAGGGAATAACTGTGGATTTTTGTGATATAACAGTTAGAAGTTTTTCTTTAAATAGCTGTAGATTTTGGATCTTCTTTGTCATGTCTTTAGCCTGTCCATGATCTCCCCTCTCTTGTGCCACATGCACATCATTAATGAGCTGTTAAGGCTACAGTTGGGATGACGCACGACAGGACAGCACATTATTGTGTACACTGTTAAAAGAAAACAGTCTTCAGATAAATGATGACAGGTGTAAATAGGGACAATCAATGAAAGGCATGTGTTTGGTTTGTAAGACAGAACAGAAGATTTAAATGTATGCAGATGATGCTTCACATGAAATCTGTTTGACACACAGTAAGTCTTATGCTTTAAACGTGCTACTCTTTTCTTTGGTCTATTTGGATATTTACATTCACTTTCTACTTCCTGTGACAGGGTGAAAATTCAGTTACAAAGCAAGGCCACACTAATAAATATGTAAATAAGTTAGCGATTACAGAAATATTATCTTTATTTACTGGAAAATCAGTGTACTTTAGGGTGTAAATGTGCCATCAGAGGGCCATATAGATACAGTGCAATTACGCTAATGCTGCGTGAAGCTTTGTACATACAGGTGAAGTGTTAGCAGGGGTTCAAACCCGGTGATGCCTTTGCTATAGGGCAGGGCTCTCTGTGCACTTGACGTTAAAATGTTAAATGTCAGGTCATAATACTTTTTCCTTTCCTGTGAGAAAAAGTGAAATATTAATCTTACCATTATTTCAAACAAAGGAGGAAGCGTGAGGTTGGAAAAAGTTGTGCTAGTGCAGATTAGCAAAGTAATGGTTCAAATGAAGTGGGAGCTGTTCATTCACATATGTTCAAATTAGTCAGCAGTGACCTTTCACAACATTAAGAGCATTTTCAGATTAGATTTCTTTCCTATGACTCACTGCGTGCGACCCACCCTTTACCTGACAGATAGACAGTATCTGTATCAGAGCGCTCAGAATTATAGTCATGCCCGGTTGCAAATGTCAGAGCCTCCATGTCAGTTAGGCTTCTTTTCAGATCTATATTTCAACACTTCACAGATGTCTAAACCTGCAGAGGGGCCACGCCAGTCATACAGGTGCATTTTTACCCTGCCTGCACCTGAAAGGATCTTCACTTGCACAATAGGAGCACAGATTGGGAATGTTTTACAGTAGAATCAGAGACCAACCTTATTTTGTTCTACTTCATTGACACAGACCAATTTTTCTCCGAATGTCTCCGTGGCCCGACAGCAGGGTCGTGTGGAGGAAGTGATGAGCAAAGAGCTTTTCTGAAGTTGTCATTTGTTTTCTGAATTGTCTACGTGGACAGAGGATTGTTGTCTTTCAGGGTATTTCTAGAGTAAGCACATCCTCTTGGAAATTGTAATTTAACTACAGCCTGACCTGATGACTGTACGTTACCTCACATGTTGAATGTGCAGCAGTAATGAGCTGTAGCTTGGGCCTTGCCATTATGACGGTAGGCAGAGAGTCAGATTACCTGTCTATAAAACATAATTTACAAGCAGCTTTAGCCTTAAAAACTGAGACCACACTAGAAAATCTAAAGCACTCAGAACTTTACAAACGGACACTAACATTCCTTAATTTAAAAACACTTCCAACAAAGTAAATATTACACATTATTCAAGGTCTGTATCTAGCAGTATGCAGTATGCACCCAGAGCCTCATCAACAGTTATACTTTTTACATCATTTGACATACTTTTCTTGACATTTTTCAATAATGATAATAAAATTGGATTAGTCACAAATGAAAACAGGTGAAAAGAAACACATAAATCTATCTGTTATTCTGTTCAAGCAATATACAAAAAAAGGGTTCATGTCATATTTAGGAATGACTTAATCATGACAAATTACGTTTGATATTATATAATAATAATATATATGATATATTAAAAATATATTAAATATATCATTTTGAAATATATATGTATTTATTATTTAAATTATATTATAATTATATATTTTGATATATTAGATATGTATCAACCTAAACCTAATTAAGTGCAGAAATGTTTTCTCATGAATTCCTCAGCGTAAAATTCTACTAAATTCCTGACTGCAGCAGTTGACTGGTTTATTGTTCAACAAACAGAGCTGGGCTAGTCCACTGTACTGCCACGTATCGTGTTATGATAAGCTCTTATCATAACATTAGCCTAATACCATCCTGTCATTTACTTTTTAACACAAACAGGATTGAGTATTTACAAAATAAAAAAAAGAAATGGCCTTAATAAGATTTTAAACATGTTCCCGTAACAAACGTTAACTGCTGCAGGTTAAATATGACATGCTTTGCGGTGAGATCATACTTTACTTCATCAACAACAAGCTGCCGTCTTAACCTGGTCATAATCACAGGTTCAATCACAGGTATTACAATTATTCAGTGGCACAAAACAAGGCTTTTTGTATCACGGCTGTCAGGCTTTCACCGCCAACTAAATCCTCTGATTCCCGAGCAGGAAGATACAGGCATTTATCCGGCTTCCCCTCATACATCTGAGCAGCACACTGTTGTCTCAGCTGTCAAACTCCTGACATGTCTCTAACAGCTCTCCCTGTGAACTGTAGAAATGGGCCTTTGTCTCTATACGTTATGATGTTAAGCTTTTCCATTTTGTTTTTAACCAGAAGAGACGACAGATTTCTATCTTAATGAGTCACAGACTGTCACAGTGTTGTGTACATCGAGGCTCTTTTTAAAAAAAAAAAAAATTTCCCTGACTTTATTTCATTGTAACTTGGCAGTGACTTTCTAAATGGATTATTGACTTTTAATCTTTTAAACTGACACCAATTTTAGATAAAAACATTTCTAGACTAAACTTCAGTTACAAACATACATTACAATATTACAATAACATCATAAATACGTTTGTAGGGCAGTCTGTCTTTCCATTGGCCACCTACAGACAAACTCATTTGATTGTTTGTTGTTATAATTACTGTATAGGTTACCTTTACTGCTGTTTCATGTTGCTCCATCCCAGACAACATATTTAACGAGTACTAAAAGACTTAATGTTGTCCTCTCTGATAATTGTGTTTAAATGTGATCATTTTGGAAATGAAAAAAAAACTTCCTTTATAGAATCCACTGGTGAGGATTTCTCTTGATAAAGGAACTAAATTAAATTTATGTTTTATTTACATTTATTTTTAATAAGCAAATAAGAACACAATATTTTCCTGCATTGAAGAGAGATTAAAATGCATCATATCATGAACCGAAAAAAAAAAAAAAGAAGTCAGGATCTGATAGCCTGCAGATCCTGCTCTTTGTTCTTTGCTAATAGTTCCCTGGATCCGGCTGTACATTACTTGGCCAGACATCTAAAATCACAAAAAAACATTTAAGGTTTCCTGGGATGTCAAACATCCAGTGAGTTCTCAGTGAATCTATGTGAGGTACGTAATAAATGTAGCTCTTAGCAGCATCTGTTCATCCTACTACATGATTTGTAGCTGCCATTAGAGGCCTTCATTAAAAGTTGGAAGTTTCTATTTGTTTCCACACACCTTTCACTGTCGCCTCTTATTGGAGGTAATTGTGGTAAATATTTATATTGGTTTTCAAATTATTTCTTTGTCGTCAGAGTGTCTGCTGGGATGGTTGACATGTGTTCAGGTCTAAAGAGTGCACACAAAGTGTAACTGGTGTCTGGTGAGCATGACTCTTCAAAC